CTCCCATCCCCCTTTTGTCCATGTCCATTGGTTTGGCTTATATACATGTATACAAGTCCTTCGGTTGATCTCTTCCCCTTACCCCCACCCTCCCCTACTTCCCTTCTGGGGATTGATAGCCTGATCGCTGTTTCTCAGTCTTTGGGTCTGTCCCTTTTCATCAGTCTATGTTGTTCTCTATAATCCACAAATGAGTGAGATCACGTGGTATTTATCTTTCTCTGACTGGCTTATTTCACTTAGCATAATGCTCTCCAGTACCATCCATGCTGTTGCAAAAGGCAAGAGTTCCTTTTTTTTTTCTTACCACAGTATAGTATTCCATTGTGTATATGTACCACAGTTTAAGACATGTAGATTTTTAGCAAAAGACTTTAAGTGAGGCCAAAAGGACCGAAGGACACAAGTGGGGCTCCGCATTTGGAAGTGAGAACCCTCCGAGGCGGGAAGTCACATCACCTTTGGCGCTTTTCTGGGCTTTTCTGGGGTGGATGCTAACTTTCAAACTGACCAGCGCTTGAAAGTGCTCAGGAGCCTATTAGCTTGTTGTGGTTTCTCCATGAACTTTTTGCGAATGCTGTGCTATGCTCACGGTTTACATAACACCTAGCAACGCACTAGTCAGTCTTAACTGATGCTCATTCTATGATGACAAACGTTTCCTTCTCGACACTTTCACTGCCTTTCCCACCCTCTTCTCTGCCCTGCCAAGGCATGTCTTCATTGCTTTCAATTATGATCAAATTATTTCTCCAATATCAATCTCCTCGACCGTTCCATCCATCTCACCATCCATCCATCCGTCAACGTGCAGTAGAAAGGCTCTAAAATTAGGCAGATCTGTATTCAAAAGCCAGTTATACCATCTACTAACTCTGGAACCTTGATGAAATACTATCTCTGAGCTACTTTATCAAAATAAGAGCTAACTCAGAGTTGTTGGAGAATTCAGCAACAAACTACAAATAAAACACCCAGCAAAGTGCCTGACATGTAGTTAACACTCAGTAAATGCTATTTCCTTTCAGCATAAAGGCATCTTGGAAAGAAAAGTAAATTTTCAAATGTTCTTCATGCCCCTTTCCCAACCTCTCCATATCCATCCCTTTGTTTGCCTCAATAATGATGCTAACCCAGGGGTGGGCAAACTTTTTGACTCGAGGGCCACAATGCATTCTTAAACTGGACCGGAGGGCCGGAACAAAAGCATGGATGGAGTGTTTGTGTGAACTAATATAAATTCAAAGTAAACATCATTACATAAAAGGGTACGGCCAATGGCTGATTCTGGCTGATTCTGTGGGGGTGGGACTTTGTCCTCCCTGCTGTCAGTTTCCACAGCTGTGATGAGGAAGCTGGGGTGACAGAGGGAGCCACATCCCCCAAGCCACCCTCTCTCTCACTCTGCTCTATGCCCAGTGGTCTCCTACTCTGCCAAGTCCTCCAAACCTTCTGCTCTCTGCCGGCAAGGTCCCGGGAGTCTGCGTTTTATTCATTTCAAACGGGCCGTAGTTTGCCCGCGGCTGTAACCCCTAATCAGGACTCCCTTAAAAAATAGAGACAAAAAGATAACATAAAACGAGAACTTAAAAGGAGAACAAAAATTGTAACTTGAAATTTTCTTGACTTGAAAACACACACCTAGATCTTTTCCATTTGCGCCACACCAACTGCCGGGAAAGAAAGGTCTGTGCCTGCAGTTTGGAGGGGGTGCCTGCTTTGCCCTGTGCCAGGAAGTCCCATGGACGTGAGAGATGCTGGCTGAACAATGGGGCCACATCTGGAAAACCTTACACAAAGCCGGCGCTGTGCCGGATGAAGGAACAAGGCAGCCTTTGTGGTCTCTCATTGGTAGATGGGACTCTAATCCGAAAGAGGCCTGTGAAGGGATCTGGGCACCTGTCTCTGGAAGAAGGAATGTGTTTGGCCATAGTCCTCCTTGGGATGTTCTGAAATCACCCTCGCTTTACACCCAACCACGGACACCTGGGTGAGCAGGACCCTCGGCACATCCACGGGTGCTGGGGGTCTGCAGGCCCAGTGCTGCCACCTAAGTGACTTGCAGCTGTACAGGCAGGTGGGAGCCGTAAGGGCCCCACTGTTAAGAACTTTTTTGAGTAACATGCTATGGGGAAAAGAGAACCCAGAGCCTATGGGTCTGTCACTGATGCCTGTAGGGACGCTGCACAAACTTGTTTTGGCGGCAGCGGCCAGGATGAAAGCCAGGCGGGAAGGAGGAGCCCTCTCCAGCGCCCGCACTGTTGGAAGTGGTGACGGTCCTGTTTACCTCAGATTTCTCATCTATTCTACTTGACAGGATTGCTGTAAAAAAATTGTTTTAAGACTTTAAAATATGAAATCGTGGTAAATGCATTATCATCAATACGATACCACTTAAGGAATATTACATGGACATTTCTTAATTAAAAAAGGGGGATGAAGGTGTCTACTTGATTAAACTAAAGCCTATTTTATAAATCTTTGTTACCCTCTCTGGTTATCATCATGCAAGGTTGCACTGGATTAGTTAAGCTAACCAGGCTTCTTTCTTCATTGAAGGACTTCTAGAGCCAGACATGTGCCATGTTTTATAAGTGTAGTTCCTTGGCTGCCCTGCAAGAGAGGCACCCTTATGCGCATTTTACAGATGAGAAAATTTGAGGTGGGAGAGGCTGCTGATTTGGCCATGGTCACAGAGACAAGAGTGGCAGAGGCAGGACTCCAAAGGCCATACTCTTTCTGGGACATAATGCCACCGCCTCTTGTTAGCTGCTGAGCCAAAGGGCTGGAGGTGTCATGACAAATACCCGAGGGCACCAGACTTGTGCCCAGGTTCTAGAAGTCATGGCCTGGTTTGTGCTGGAGATCGCGGCCCAGCAGCCTCCACACACAGTTCCCGGGTCTGAGGATGGGAGGTCTCCCTCATCATCAGATGTGGGGCCTCCCACCAGCAGGACAACGGGATGGCTGCTGGCCACTGCTGCCCGCGAAATCTCTGGTCCACTTTCATCCATAATTAGACAAAAAGTGAACAGGCTCCTTTTGGAGCCCCATCTTTGGTAGCACTCCCCACATTTCATTCCATGGAAGATGTAGAGGTCTCCTGGTCATCTAAATGCAGGTTGCACTGGGTTAGTGAAGCTAATCAGGCTTCTTTCTTCATTGAAGGACTTCTAGAGCCAGACATGTGCCAACAGCACAGTCTCTCTTCAAGGGCAGGTGGGAGGGACAGACACGGTGGGGTGGTCCCGGGCTCTTTTCTATGACGGAGCACTCTGAGACACATAATTGGAGAAATGCTGGTCTCCTGTGCGTTCCCACAGGCCTTTAACCTCTCAGGTTATAGCAGCAAAACTGATAAAGTTATCTTCCTAGAGACTGGCTCTGGTTCCCTCCAGGGAGAGGTTGGGTCAAAGGGAGCCCCCACGTTATCAAGCAAACTAAATCCCTGTAGAGGAGGAGGCAGGGATTTGAATCCTGATTCCATCACTGACCAGCCTGGGACAGTCCCTTACCCTTGCAGTTCCTCAGTTTCCCCATCGATACAAAGGGATTAACAGTAGCGACCTCACAGGGCCACAGTGTAACCTGTGCCATAGCATAACACAGCGCAAAGCACTCGGAACAGTGCTCGGCACATGGCAAGCGCCATAAACGGCTGGCTTTCATCACTGTGACTTCTCCAGCTCTCCTCTCTAAGTGGACATCTGTTTCAGAGAGGCAGTTAAAATGACAGACAAACAGGACCAGTGGCACTTACTTCAGTGTCTGAGCTTTGAAGTCAAATTTGGCTCTGGCAGGTCTCATCTAAACACAAGAAACAGTGTCAAGTTAAAATCACAATTCACGTACAATGGAAAGGACACATTTTCACGCGTTTCCGGAAAGCAAAGCAGAAAGACGCACTCTAACCAGTTCATTCTGGGGTACACATCTGGGCAGGATTCCTCTCGTCTGACCTCAGCAGAACACTAGGCGGATGTTTGGTCAGCTACGTCATGCATGAGACTCTCCCTAAGGAGGGCCAGATTTGGGGAGGAGGTGGTGACAAAAGTCCCAAAGTTGACGTTCTAGTTCCCCACAGCTGACCATGGCTATTCAAAGCAAAACAAAACAAACTAATAAAAAACAAAAAGGGAGTTAGCCAGAAGTCTTACTGTGTGGGAATTGTGACCGTCTTACTCTTACCTCCTCTGTTTGCCTGACTTAAATTACGACCTACAAGTGGGTGAAACCCCGATTAACCTCTTACGTCATCTTCAACTCGGTACATTGCTCATGGCCTCCGAGATCACCCACAGGCCAGGTGAAGTGGGCCCTGCGCTCATTCTTTCTCCAAGGCTTCCCTGCCTATCGGGTGGCTCTCTCCTTCCAGGCTCCAGGCCTGGGTGCACCCTTGGCCCGTCTCCCCTCCTTTGTCGTCTGCCACAAAGTCAGCCAGCTTCCCTCTCCCTCCCTCCCCACTCAGGTCTGACTCTGGTTCACAGGCACAAAGCTTCCTTTGACTTCACTTCTCTCCACTCTAATCTGCTGTCACTCAGGAGCACAAAGAACATTCCTCAAATGCTTCCATCACATCACTTCCTTGCTTTGAAGTTGGCTGAGGTTCTCAACTGCCCTCAGATCAAATCTCAATTCCTAAGTGTTGTTAAGGCCTGTGGGTAATGTCTCCCCCCTCACACCTAATGGCCTTTATCTCTTATTACACTCTTCCCGTCAGGCAAGTCTGTTTGCCACACCTTGGCGAAACTGCCTTCTCTGTCTGGAATTTTTTCATTTCCAATTCCGGCAAAAAGAGCAAAAAGCTCACCTTTACTTACCCCCATATGTATTTGCACATCTGTCTTCCCCACCATTAAAAGTAGTTATCTTAACTAATTTAAAAAAAAAAAGGAGGGGAGAGAAGTCATGTGAGCAATATAGCTGCCAATATAGATCTGACCCCATGACCACCTGGTCTAGGGGAACAATGTGATGGAAATTAAACCGCACACTTCCTCTTCAGTATTAGAGGCCATGGCCAAAGTTCAGGGGAGATGGGTGACCCTAGATCCCGATCCCTCAGTGAGACGCCCCGTGTGGCCAGGCTCCTCAAGCTGGGGTCTTGGAGGGATCTTCTTAAGGGCATGAATTCTCCACAGGAATTTTTTATTTTTCATCTTCATGCTGATGCTTCCATCCTTCTATCTACAGACATGCATATTAGAGGTCAATTGAAGGATGACCTTACAACCAACGCTACACAATTTCAATGCCTGCACTGTGTCTGTGACCAAGGGGCATAACTGAACAGCTGTGGGCAAACAAGAAAAGAACGGATGTGGGGTTGATGATAAATGACAAGAGAAAATGACCAAAACTGTAAGGACAAACATAGCAGTGACTACAATGGAAGTGGTGGCCACCCTTGACAGCTAGCGCTAGAACTGGGTGATGTAAATATTTGCACTAAACAGTGCCATCTGCACACTTTGGGTGGCAACAGAGCTCACACAAAGTGGTATGACCTACAGTTAAATGAATAAAGTCGCACAGGTGTGTATTTACTGTTTAATTCGTGAATTGGCTTAGGTCAAAACTGGGGGTTGAACTCCCTTTTTTCATTAAAGGAAACCCATATATCACTCAACGTTGAGCAACACTGATTCTATTGATCTGTTGGGACACATTACCTGAGTCACCGTTGCTTGTACAAGCATCTCTCTCTCTCTTCCTAATCTTCCTGGGGCTGATTAGGAATCCTCTGGCTCCCATGCACTGTGCTACTTACCACAGCAGAGACACCCGTTCCTACCAGAGACACCTGTTTGGAGGGGGCCTCTTCTGCTGGACTGCCAGCTTCCCAAGGGTACAGTCTGAGTCTGGGTCCCGCATCCCCCCGGGGATTTGCGCAGAACCAGTGGTCACCCAAGGTCTGCCTGATGGGTCTGAAGTGTGTCTACACAGCCTGGTGCCCTGGGACTTGTTGGTGTCTGTTTTCTCATGTCTGTCGGCCCACATCGTCTGTTTTCTCATGTCTGTCGGCCCACATCGAGGGCAGTGATTTTCTAAGTGTGGTCCCTAAACCGGTATCACCAACGTCACTTGGGAACTGGTTAGAAATGCACATTCGCAGGCCCCATGCCAGAATCAGACACTTTGTGGATGGAGCCCAGCCACCTGTATGTTAACAAGCCCCTAGGGGATTCGAGAACTCAGGTGTGAGGACCACTGCTCTGGAGGGAGGAAGGCGGGCTGGGCAGTGTGCCTGCCTCTGTCCATGGTTATTCTGCCCCAGCCGCGTTCTCACACACGTGTGCTGTCATCTGTGTGAGTGTGCAGGCCTCGGTGCTTTGGTGTGTTCCCATCTTCCCACCACTCTCGAGCGAGCCCGCCCAGGAAGGAGGACCAGCCACCGTTGCAGCCTCAGAACAGGGCTTTGAGGAGCTGGTACAAGAGGGCCACGGGGCATCCTTCCCTTGAAACTGATCAACCTTGTGAACTCCTGCCTCTTCCTTATGACCTTTTCCCCATCATGTTAGAGTGTCTGTCCCCTCTCTAGCTTCCCGTCTTCTAATCTGGCTCCTCCTTTTCTCTACCTCTTCTTCCCAGACAATTTGACCACTAGCCAGTGCCACCTCTGTCACTCACTATTATACTGAAAGATGATAAAACGGTATATACTTTGGGTGTAACTCATTTCTATACCCCCCAAGCCCCAGACACACAGGTCCCTGAAAGGAGCCAACCTCAGCAGGGCCACTGGAGGGTCATGTGGCAAAACAAACTCTGGCACAAGAGGCAGCCTTGGCAGCACCAGGATTTCAACATGCCGACCTCAGGGGAGGGGGAGGAGGCCGAGGCCTGAACAACATCACTTCAAAGGTTTGTGCTTCTTCGTTTGTTTTATAATATTAAGTTTCATAACCTCAGTTGAGAAATGTCAAAATCAAGGGAACAAATGAAACGCCTCTCACCCTCCATGAGCTCATCCCGCTGCAAAACTCATTTCAAAATTCGCCAGTGAGGCTGCAGTCCTGCTGGGCACTTTATCCAAGTACCTCATTGTACCACTAAGAGGCAGCATGGTGCTCTGATAGTTCAATGTTAACGGGACTAAGTTTCGAGGTCGGTGTGAAAGATGCATTGCTAGCTAACTTTTGTAACTTAAGTTTCACTCAACCATCTCTTAGAAGAACCTTGTCCTTGTCCACACGGAAGCTAACGCACAGGGACTAAGGTCTAAGGTTTCTAAGCAGAATGCACAGGCAACATGGTATCACGATGAAAGGCAGAATGTAGAGGACTGGACGCATGGAGGCAGCCGATGCTCTAGGCATGCAGAGGGTGTGTGCCAGCAGATCCCGGTCCCGCAGCCAGGCATGCTTGAACATACAGAGCGCAGGACATGATGGGACTCATGTCCACGGGCCAGCCACAGTGAGCCAAAGCGAGCCTAGGGAAGCCAGGATGACAGAACTAATTCGGCCTACGGCGGGCAATGCTGAGGGGAGGCAAATATGGCTTTGGGTCAAGCAGCAGATCGAGGCGACCAAAACAGACCTCTGACCCAGATTTCCTTTTTGCCGTATCGTCTATATTGAGGAGGTCCCCAAAGCGCTCATTAGTGATAAACTGATGGTGCGTTGGAATGACACCCGTGTGGCGCCGAGCTGCAATATCGGCCTCTTCTTGCTCACGCTTAAGTCGTCGCTGGTCCGCTAAAAGTTTCTGCCATGAAATTGCATAAAATGGGCAGTGAATCATCTGGTCCAGGGCATTGGAAAACTGCCAACAAAAACAACTGAGGAAAAGGTGCCAGGTCAATAGGAGGGAAGTTAAGGGTTAGATGCTGGAAGGGCTTTATGGCCACAACTACTATGTTCCGCTATGACCACCCCCGGCGCCACTCCGCGTAGGAAGGAGACAACCCTGCACAGGAGAAACCGGGGGACACTGGGACACAGCGAAGGCTGAAGTCCACACAGTTACACTGCTGCAACCTGCCCCCGGCTCAGCCCACGGCCCCCTACCTCCTCACACGCGGCAGCAAGGCCAGGCGACCCAGGTGTATCCATGCATTCCTACGCATGCTGGGCTGGCGGCAGGAGGCTCAAGTGCTGTCCTTCAGTGATGCGTTCCCACAGCTGTTCCCACGGTGGGACCAGGGCTGGCTGACTCCTCTACCCGCATCTGACCTACTACACCTGCTATGGGCTTTTACTCTGAGGGGTCGAGGGCAACAAGGTCATGTTTGTGCTTCCTATGTCTGTCACTCTAAGATGCTTGACAGAGTGGAGCTGCCATTTCAGCAAACGGCTCCTCTCCTCCTAGGCCGGCGATCTTTTCTCGGGGCACAGTTTTTAGGAGGCCTCAGCCAAAGCTATGTTTGACTGACAGAGCCTCAGTTACTTTCTTGCTATACTTTCAAAGATAACTATTTCTTCACTAGATGAAACGAAAGTGAGTTTAATTTGTAGACTATAAATACAGAAGATAAACTAAGAATGATGGTACTTGTGTTTAGAAGAAATATTCTCCCCTAAATTAAGGAAATAGGCATCTATTTCTACTTTGAAAGATCTTTTAAAATAATTAAACAATGTTGCATTTCCTCATTGCCTATTGAAATGACCCTATGGAATAGAACTTTAATGTATTTTCCTATTTCATACCAAACATACATCCTTGGGATTAACATTTTTTTGTAGGAAAAGCATTAATTATAACTGACAATTCCTACATTCTTAATAAAACATTAGTCTTTTTTCAGAAGGAAATTAAATGCCTCAGGTGACACCTAGCCCCAAATAACGGTGGGCCCCATTTTCCTATTTTTCCAGGGTCACAAATAATAAAGTAACGACTCACCAAAGGCCGTGGGATTTCCAATGCTCGGGTAAGTTGTTGTGAAGATTAAATAAGAAAAGACAAGGAGGTGCTTTGCCAGCACATGGAGCCCTGGTTTCCAGCTCTGCCTCGGGTATAAGGCAACGTGGATGTGGCCCTGGCAACCACCACCCTCTCCCAGTCCCTTCCTGGATGAACAAGGAGGTGACTGGGTGACCACAAATGTCCCTGCCAGGGCTGACGTGACCATTTCCTGAAATGCCACCATCATCAACGTGGGTAAGAAATTGCGCATTTGCTAGAAACACGCCAGCACCGACACCCATGAGCTGGGAGTGTGCTTTCCCCGGAGCCGTGGGAAGGGACCGACGCTGAGGCCAGGCCTCTGGTGGTCTGGCCCAGGTCACATGAAGCCAGTGAAGGTGGACAGGGAACGGAGCACTTGGATCTGACCTCGATAAACCCACCTGCCCCGCAGGTTCACCACACCAGCCAATACCCTGGGGAAAGACATAGTTTTTAGGGGCCTTTGAGCAGTTCAGGAAACGAGCTGCTCACCTTCTGAATTTACCTCTGAATATACCAAACGGCTAAACCAACTACGGGAAATATGCCTCCCGGTGGCAGGCAGCGTTCTATCACAAAACCTTCTGTGCTGGGGACTCGGTCTACACAGCGAGTTGGAATGCCCTCCTCCACCACAGCTTCCGGCCTGCAGGGCCGCTCCTGTGGCTCAGTGATGGTGACGAGAACCGAGTCTGCTCAGTGGCCTCGTGAACACTCATGGTGTCTGAGCTTTTCACCTGGTTATTACAAACTACTCTATACATCAGATCCTTCCTCTCCTTTCTTCCCATGGACACGTGCCTGCATTATGCCCAGAGAGGGGAGACCATATCTTTTCTGTCTTTTGTCGCACCACCCGGCTCTCCTCAGAGTTGGCCTCACCCGAAATCCTTAAGGAAAATCCGCCCAAACCCTGAAACTACCATGAAACAGAACCACCAGGGACTTTAGACGCTGCAGAGAAAGGAAGGGCTGCGTAGACATGGACACCCTCCACCTCCTGCCGCCAGGCTCCAGCCGTTCTTCCACCTCTTCACTCCTGACAGGAACAGGCACTGCAGCCTGTTCCATCTACAGGCCCCATTGTCCTGGGCACACAACGTCTAGAGAGCACGCCTCGTACCAACACTGCATCATAACAAACGCTGTGATGTGGCCCAGTCAACGGATAGGCAGAGCGGCCTCCTCCTAAATCCCAAGGGAACGCACTGCTTTCCCTGCCCTGTCAGTCATGCCGCCATAGCTGCAAGGAAAGGGCTCAGCCTGAAGCTCTTGGTGGGAGTTTACCAACATTTATTGGGGCATCTCTTCTTCTGAGTACAAAGGCAACATCAAATGGTTGCCTTTTAGTGACCACAGTATGTATCATGGTCATTATTCTTCTCCAGTTTCCGCCTCCTCCTACTGTACCCTTCCCAACATGAACTGTGCTTGGTGCCAACAGAGGGATGGCGGTACTGGAGAAACATGCGAGAGGATTTCCCTAGAGAATAATAAGGTCAGGGTCTGGCGGAGGGATGAAAGAGCAAAGAGCAACACAGGTGGGCAACCTCTTCTTGGACCTCCTGGGGGCAACGTGGCGTTCAGAACCCAGTGCCTTGAGAAAATCTACTTTAAGGAAAAGTGGACTAAAAGAGGCCTGACTGCGCCAATGTCATATAAAAAGTCACTTCTGACAAAGCTAATCTTGGCTTCCAATTGCTAGGCCACGTCATCTCTCTGGCAGATATCTGGGATGTTTACTTCCTTCATATTTTTCTCTGCCCAAAAGCCAAGAGATTTTAGAGATGGCACTTACTTCTTTATCATCATGACGCCTTCGGATGAATTCTTCTGTGGATTCCAAGTAGTCAGCTGGTATAAAATGTCTTGGTGATTCTGAATCTTCAAAAGAACAAAGTAGAATTAAAACAGGCAAAGATTTAGTGGGAAACCAAACTGGGAAAAGATTTCACCTTTCATCCATTCTAAATAGCAGATTTTTTTACAGTTGTAGAGACCAGTGATCAATAATCGAATTCTGAAGGAAAGAACCCTCGAATTCCCCCCACGTTTTGGATTCACTTGTGAACTAGTGTAATACAAAACTCATTACAAGGCAAAAGGAGAGGACCTTCTCGGACAAGTGTCCCTGCTCAGAGGCGTGCAGGATCTCACAGGGACACACTGTACACACACACACACAGGCCACCGAGAGCGGCTGCCTCTCAAAAAACCACGGCGAGTCGGGGTTGGTGCAAACTGCAAGGGGCGCAAGGGTTCAAAATGAACCAATTTCTCAGATGAGCTAAACGGCCAATTTTTCTTTCGAAACAGAGTTTGGTGGTTAGTCTAGATGACATGGGGGCTTTGTTTTTGAAGAAGTGCAGCCACTACGAGCCATGATTAATTGCCAAGCAAAACAAACAGAAAACAAAGGACAGACCAGAAAATGAGCACCAAGGGCACACGGGAGGAGGGGACAGAGCAAGCAGAGTGGAGACGGGAGCGGAGACTGGGCAAACACACAGAAGGCCACCTCCGTGGGATGCTCCCAGCTCACTGGGTGGGTTGTTGTTTCTGTCCAGGCTGTGGTCTGAGTACGGCACGGGGTTCCCATTATCAAAGGCCCCCACGCAGTCCTCTGGGACCGCGGGTCTCTCCTGAGGGGGCTCTGCGGTCCGGCCCAGCCTGGCCATGGTGTGTCGGGAAGACAGGCGCTTGGGCACCGAGGGCTTCCCCCCAGCGTGGGGCTCGTCCTGCTGGGGCTGACCGGGGAGGTCTGGCTTCCGGCCCGCCGGGGGGCCCGAGAAGTCCCCAGGGGCAGGCTGCCTGGGGTGGTGCTGGAGGGGCTTTTTCAGCCGGAAGGGGAGGGGGCTCATCAGGTAGATGTTCCTGAGGAGCGCGCTGCGATCCCCTCTGCAGTCCGGGCGCCAGTCGGGCTGCCGGGAGGCCTGCTGCTCGTGCTTGCGGATGGTGGTGAAGCGGGTGTAGGAGGCCGGGCAGGTGCCCTTGCACTTGTTGAGGCGGTGTTTGGGGAAGTCTCCATGAACACTGCTGCCGCTGCCCTCCCTGCTGTCACTGGAGACGTTGGAGCAGTGGTCGAGCTCGTCGGAGCAGGTGGAGAGGGGCTCAGAAGGCGCCAGGCCCCTGAACCCCAAGGGGGAGTCCACCAGGCGGCTGCACGTTGGGGAGGCGTAGACCCCCCCGGGGTTTATCCCATCCACCTCCCGGGGCCGGAGCTTGGTGGACTCCAGGAGGGACTCGGCGGAGCGGGCTGCGGTCAGGCCGCTCCGGGACAGCACGGGCGTGGGGGACTTGCTCAGCCTGCCTGACAGGTCCAGGGACGGCATGGACCGTGACCGCTGGATCAGCTGCTCAAAGGCCGTGATGCGGGAGGAGACGGTGTGCTTGGGGATGTGCTCCGAGCCCTCCTGGCTGGGGCCCAGCTCGCCCCTGGCCAGGGCCAGGCTGCTCCTCTCGAAATGGGAGGCGAGGTCCCGCACGCTGGAGGAGGAGGCAGAGCCCAGGAAGAGGCCCGCTCGGTTGATCTGGTGCATGTCCCGGTAGAGCATGGTGAACTGCATCCCCGCCTTCCTCGAGAGCGGGCAGGGCCTCCTGGCGCTGGAGCTGGAGCCGTACTCCTGCAGGCTCAGGGTGCTGCTCGACTTGCTGTCGTAATCCCGCCGGGAGCGCATGAGCAGGTTCTCGATGCTCCCACCCACCTGGAGGGGGAGCCCTCTCTTGGAACCGTTCAAAGAAACAGAAACACAAAGGTTCTCACAGCTCTGAGCCTTTTCTGATGGCAACAGGGCGCTCTTCTGTTCCTGCAAAAGAGCGCTGGGAGCGGAGAGCCTGGGCTTGAACTTGGAGGGGAGGATTTCTGAAATGCAGGCTTTTGCAGCAGACAGAGGTTTCTTGTGCTTACACACAGGGCCTAAGGCATTGCTAGTGTTAACCGTTCGGCTATGAACTGAAGATGAAGAAATCATGTGAGCATTCCCACCTTTACGATCCACTGGAAAGCATGCAGAATAAAATAAACAGACCCATTAGGTTAAAGCTGAAAGCTGCTAAAAAAACGGGAAGGGTAACATGCTCATTTGTCATAAGGTGTTTTTATTTTAAATTTCCAGTCGATGTCCAGAAGCAAAATAATCTGTGCTGCAAAGCAGGTGCAAAATGCAACGAAAAAATGGCCACCTTGCTAGTCAGGAAAGGCTAAAGCTCAGCTAGTTTCTAAGAAAAGGGAATCAGAACAAGAGAGAGAGAGATGCTTCAGGGAGAGCAAGGCCGGGGATTGAAGGAAGGAGAACTATTAATACCAGAAAGAAAAATGGCCGGTGAGAAACGAGGGGAGGGGGCTAGGAAGGCTCAAAGGCCTGGAAGTGGACCCGCACAAGGCAAAAGTGATTCCAGTAGCTGGAGGTTCACCCCTGCCAACACCCCGGTGACAGCGTGGACGGGAGAGACACCCGATGAGGCAGACAGGCGAGAGGCCTGCAGGCTTTGCGGGGTTACCTTTCGTGGAGGCCGAGCTGGACGGGCGCTTGAGCCCACTGAGGCCCTGGAGAGGGATGTCTCCACCTTCCAGGACGCTTTTATAAATCTGCCTCTCATTCTCCAGGCTCCCGAGGTCGCCGGGAGCCCCATCGGATTCCCTCTTCACTGCGTGGAAGTTGGAAGAATATATACTAAGAACAATGTAATTTTAAAAGGAAGAGAGAAGAGGGGGGAGAAAAAGAACAGGAGTTAGTATTTTAACACTTGTCTAAAAGGTACATTTCCAGCTGAGGGTAAGAAACATACTTTCTGGCTTTCTAATCAAGCACCGCCCTTTCTAAGGAGCATTCCTATGCAGAGGTCGAGTTCGACAGGCAAGGCAGGCCCACAGGAGCCCCTTGTCCAGATAGTGATCTGCCCTAATTGAATGACTGATTTGTTCTTTCGCAGAATAACTGAGAAACACGGCTGGGGCAGGGGGTAGGAGATAAGATTAGGAGGTGGGGAGGGCAGGGCAAGAGATGCTGGGGTCCAGGTGCTACACACGGGATGGGGCAGTCACGAATATAGTTGGAGGCCGGCTGGTGTGGCTCAGTGGTTGACTGTCGATCTATGGACCAGAACGTCACGGTTCGATTCCCAGTCAGGGCACATTGGGTTGTGGGCTCGATCTCTAGTGCGAGGCATGTAGGAGGCAGCTGATCAATGATTCTCTCATCATTGATGTGTCTCTCTCTCCCCGAGCCCAGGCTCACACACCACGGAAGTGGAATCTAAGGGAAAAGAGAACCAGCCCTCACAGCTGAGAATATATAGGCAGGCGGTAGAGTGAGCCCACAGAGCAGCCCGGGCGGTCTCTCCCCAGCCCGTGCCCTGGTTTCTAAGCGCCCACAGGACTATAGGGCCCATGAGGACACTCAGCATGTATTTGCTGAATGAATAAAAGGTCACATTTTCTGAAAGCAAATTGGGCCCATGTGATCTGATTAAGAATATGTTTTGAACCATAGCGAGGGGGAGGGTCCCGGGTTCAATTCTGGTGTCAATCCCTGGCCCTGGTTAGGAGGCATGCGGGAGGCAACCAGTCAATGTTTAGTTTCTCTGTCTCTCCCTCTCCCTTCCATTCTCTTTAAAAAAATGGAAAAATATCCCCAGGAGCGGATTAATAACAATAACAACAAAGAATATGGTTTGATTTGTGAAACGACGTACTTAGGAATTCTTCCGCAAGTGTAAGAACTATGTCACATTTACTTGGGGCTCTGAGCTACTGACGTCAGTGACCTCAGGCCATCAGGCCATCGGAGCAGTGGAGAGAGAAGGGCTGCAGGATCGAGGTGGCCGAGGTGGCCGGTGGCCTGGGCTCAGGCTGGCTGTCCTTCCTGGTGCTGGGGCCCTGCCTGGAGGCCTACTGCCACCTGGAGACAAAAAGGCGTGGCTTTCCCAGGCGAAGGGGCCGGGCAAGGGACAGGGCTGCCACCCACGCAGCTCTGGGCTCTCCGGCTTCTGCCTGCAGGGCATTCACAGATGTCCCTGGTTCTGACTGACCAAAGCCACTCACTCTAGTGGCGGGGCGGGGGGGCCTTCAGGAGACTAGCAAGCTGTCAATGCCGGTTTAGACCAGCACAAGTCATCTAACCTGGCGTTCCCTTTGAACTTCCTAATTGAAAAGAAATCTGCTTCTTTTCGAAACTTCCCTTTCTCCATCCACCCTCTCTTTTTGGCTGCAGTTCCTGATTTTGTCCTTCAGCTGAAGCCCGTGTCTCCTCTGTCCATTCCATCTGCAGAGAGACCCATGGACAGGCGTCCTTTAGGCCTGCTAACCAACAGCTGTGGGACCGAGGTCGCTTTTGTGAGAGGAGCACCTCCAAAGCTCTGGTTTGGGGCGACCAGACCTCAGCACAGAGCGACTCTGACAGTGGCTTCCACCCGCTGTCCTTAAACTGCCGTGGCCTCAGCCAGAACGACCGACACATCTCCCCTCGTTCCTCCTAGCTTCTCGGCCATGACACCAGCTGTGGACCTCACACCTCCCCTTCCCCTACCTCACCCGCTGTCAGAACTCACCCCGCCCCCAACGCCACCCCACTTTCTGGCTTTATTCCACCCATTATCACCATTTTTTCCTGCTTCCCACCAGAAGACAAGCCTGCAGCCCTCAGGAAACCTCTCAGGATGGACTTGCTATGGCCAATTGTTTTCTTTCTGATACCGAAGCCGACATACTTTTTCCAGATGTGACACTTTTGCAACTTGTTTAAAAACAATGTCCAAAAGCTCCAGGACAGTGTTTCCAAGTGAATGATCTTCCCCAGGCCTCCTCATTGGAAAGACAGACACCATTTGTCCACTGTACCAAAGGGGAAACTGAGGACCGGGCGGTGAAGGCCTCTGTCAAAGGTCACAGTGCTGTTGGGTCTTTGCTGTGTTCGCACAGAGCAGAGAGGGTGAGAACAGTGCCCTCGGTCTGGCCCAGAAAGACGAGTCACCCATTCCGCACCCAAACAAGCCAGGCTCAGAAGCTCGGCTCTGCAGCCTGGGCGGAGCCAGTTTTGGGCTGAGGAAGAGCAGGCCAGCAGGAGGCAGTGACGAGAACGGACCCCCTGGCTAAGAGGCGGCGCTGGCTGCTGAGTTTCAAGGGGATTCGACAGAAACTCACTCAAAGAATAAAGAGAGAACAGAGCAATCATTTTAGGGCCGAACGTTTCCAATGTGCTAACTGGCCGGGTCGGGACTCCAGCCTGACTCCAACAGGCAATGTGATCAGTGGAGGCAAACCCGCTCACTTTAAAAACTTGGAAACAATCCGTTTCTCTCAGCCTCAATTTCCTTCATCGACAAAACTATTAGGTGTGGTGAGACTGTCCAAAAAGTCCCCCTTCAAATCCCTTATCTACAAAGACATTCCTTCTGACCTCCAGATACATACACTCAACTGCCTTCTAGAAGCTCCACTTAGATCAGCGGTGGCAAACCTTTTGAGCTCGGTGTGTCAGCATTTTGAAAAACCCTAACTTAACTCTGGTGCCGTGTCACATGTAGAAATTTTTGATATTTGCAACCATAGTAAAACAAAGACTTATATTTTTGATATTTATTTTATATATTTAAATGCCATTTAACAAAGAAAAATCAACCAAAAAAATGAGTTCATGTGTCACCTCTGACACGCGTGTCATAGGTTCACCATCACTGACGTAGATGTTCCTCAGGCATCTTAAACCCAACACATCCCAAACCAAACCCAGATCTGTTCCTCCACCTCCCATCACCCAAGCCAGAGAGCCCAGAAAATCAACCCCTTCTCCCTCTCTTTGGCCTGCAAACTTCAGGAGTCAGCACGCTTTGCTTACTCCGTCCTCTCACAGCTCACATCAATCCCTTCCGTCTCTACCTCCCTGGTCCGCACCTCCCACCACTCACCCACACCTGTGCAAACAGCACACCACCACTCCCCCGGGCTCCACCCCATTTCCCTCCAGTCATTTTTGCAAACTACTGCCAGCGATATTTCTAGAAAAGATCTCACTATGTCATTCCATGGCTCATCTTATTCATTCAACAAGTATTTATTGGGCACCTACTACATGTCAATCAGTCACTTAGGTGGAGATTCAATAAGGAACAAAACAGACAAAAAAATTCCAGCGTCATGGAAAAAAAATTACCTTTTCTGTTTGTAATATAATATTATTATTAATCACTTTTTCTTTGCGGCTCCTCTGTAAAGCGTACCTTTCTTCCTCCACGAAACAGAGGTGTTCCCTCCCTCCTGGTCCCGTCACTGCCTGCCCTGCACTGGAGTCTGATGGTTGTTTACAAGTCTGCCTCCCATTACACTTGGTTTTTCCCTTCAGGGTTAACTGATTAACCTTTGCACGGCTGGTGTCTAGCACCTTTGTTCAATAAATATTAGTGGAATAAATGATTTCATAAAATTAAATGCCTACACACACAGAGATTTATGATACATTTTCAAGCCCTGGAAGTTTCTAATATTTCATCAAGTTCTCCAGGCAATGATTTGTGTTTTGATCTTAAGTTAGATTAAGGGAAAAGGGTGTTTTTCCTAGTGCACCATCACCACTTGGGAAAGCAGCAACTTGAGTGCCACCTGCTGGCCAAATAGAGTAAAGCTCTTTGGTTAGGCAAAGACTGAATTCAAACTAACCAATGCTGAAACGCTAAGCAATGATGAAGAGTAGGCTACACTGTTGATTTATAGGTCTGGTAATTCCACAGAAATAAAATACAAAATTTGGCATACGTTGTGATCACAACTATAAAAATATACTTTTTGAGAGGAAGGACTGGTAGATTGTATTAGGATATTGGGACAATGGGTGAATTTCTTCCTCTCTGTTCCCAGGTTCTTTTAATATTGTGATATGTAATCAACTTAATTAATAAAATTCTAAACTAAAGTCTCTCCAAGATATTAAAGTGGATTCAAAACAACACCATCACTTCCCCACTGACCACAGACAGAGTCCTGCAACTGGGCCATTGTGATTCAGTCCTTGGGTTAAGTCAAGTCTTTGCCAATGTTTCTTTCAGCAGGTCATTCCTGTCCATCGGGTGAAGGGAACCAGATTCAATCCACAAGTTTCCGGCCTTGGTGCTGAGTTGGATTTTAGTTAATTAAGATGCTTTCCTATGCGTCAGGCACTGCACTTAAGCTGGCTCCTCACCAATTCCAAACACAGAAAAACCTTATTCATTTGAACAAACAGGAGAAAACCAAGCCCGAATTTCTGATAAATTCCCAAATGGTAGAATAGCAAGAGGAAACAAACCTCATCTATCCCTGCCACATATTTCCCGTGAGTTAGGGTAAGGCTAAAAAAAACCAGAGGTCTTTGAAGACCTGTTCCGATGATAGAAATAAGAGTGCTGGGTAAACGAACACATCAAATAGCTTTATGCACATGAATCCTCAGAGTCTGACAGCAATTTTCTCTTTTCGGCAGTTTGCATTAGGCCCCTCAATCCTGCTAACACAATATTACAAATAGTTGCTTAAATGGTTTTTTCAATCATTTGAAAGACAGTAAGTTATAGGATGCTTTCTATTAGTTTATTATCAGTATGGTGCAATGGGAGCGCCTGCCAACACCAGGTCCCTGGCCGAGAACGTGACTGCTAGTCTGGTCTGAGGAGGAACAACTCCACCACACACCAGCTGCAGAGCCGTGGCTGGTACACTCCTGCTTCCTCACCTGTAAAATGCGGATTAAAAATAATGCCTGGTCCTGGGATGTTGCAAGGACTAACTGAGGTGAAGTACGGAAGCTGCTAAGCATAGGGCCTGGCACATAGTAAATGCTGAGTAAGTAGTTCAAGTCACCACTTCATTTAAGACCCGTGTGCCTAACTCTGGCAGGCTGGGCACTGCTGTCTTTTTCTGAATATTCTTAATCCTTAAAGTCTGCTTCAATCATGTGCCACTTTTCTTTCTTTCTTTAAAACATATTTTTACTGATTTCAGAGAGGAAGGGAGAGAGAGATAGAAACATCAATAATGAGAGAGAATCACTGACTGGCTGCCTCCTTCACGCCCCCTACTGAGGACCGAGCCCGCAACCTGGGCATGTGCCCTTGACCGAAATTGAACCCGGGACCCTTCAGTCCGCAGGCCGACACTCTATCCACTGAGCCAAACCGGCTAGGGCCCACTTTTCCTTCTTATTTACTAACATTCCCTTTTTTTTGTTTTACCCCCAAAACTACTAAGGGACAATTATGCTCCTATTTATTACGTAGCATAGTGCCGTGGTCCAGGGAAGCTAAGGAATTCACTCAGCTGGCCACCTGAAACAGCCTTTTTTGTCTGTGCATTTCAGGGAGATGGATGGGGCGAGGAGGCAGAGGGGGAGGCCAGGCAGCAGGCTTACATTATGCAATCCTGGGAAAGGCAGGGCAGGGAGAGATCTGCCCAGGTTTTGGGCAGTCAGGACCGCCAAAGTGACAAGCTTTGTCACTGACCAATGGGTGACCTGAGGGACTAGTTTGCTGGGAGCTGTGGCCTTAAAGCAGCCCTTCATCTGCAGATAGCCTGAGGCAATCTGTGGGTTCATTTCTGGGACCTGGAGGACCTGCGGCTGGTCATCCTTGGGCTGAAGGGATAGTTCAACTATCTCCTTAAAACAGAGTGAGCCTCAGAGCCCAAGGTAGGGGGTAGGAGGGGACGGGGCAGCCTGATGATATAGCTGAACTCAGATTCCTCTGTCACACCGGTGGCCTGACGACCAACCCAACAGTGAGTGCAAGAGACGATACCAACCTGCTCCAAGATGGAGCTGTCCTTTAAGGCAGGAAACTACCGATCTGCTCCAAGATGGGGCTGTCCTTTAAGACAGGAAACTACCAACCTGCTCCAAGATGGAGCTGTCCTTTAAGACAGGAAACTTTCCTTCTAACTGCTGTCCTAATACATCGTTTCAACTTCTTCTCAGACTCTGGGGTCTGCTAATCATAGCCATTAATATACACATTTATAGAAGAAATATTAATAGAATAGATCTGGCTAGAGATTTGGTCACTACCCTAAGGGGATGAAGGTTTTTTCCCAATTTTCTAGTGAAATACTCTAATCACAGCTAATCGACTTTCAAATGAAACCACTCTTGCAAAATGCTCAAGTGACCGAAAGGTTTGTCACACATATCCACAAACTCAGCGTTCAGATCAAGTCAGGCTCCTGTCTGCACAGGTGAGCTTGTCTCACTGTGGATTTGCCCAACCCAAATGGAACAGTAATAGCTGTGCCTCCCCTTCTTGTCATGCTTTGAAGAATAAGATACAGACACAGCGGTGATGAGGTGAGGAGCTACTCCCACCAGAACAAACTCCCAGACCTATGGGTGCACCTGGCATGATGGAGATGCAGTCCTCACTCTCAAGGAGTTTACAATTTACTAGAGGTCCGATGCACAAAATGTGTGCAAGGGGCTTGGCCCTCACAGCCCCAGCGTGGTCAGGAAGGTCGTCTGGCTGTCTGGTCTAATTAGCATATTATGCTTTTATTATCATAGATTAGAGTTATACAAACATAGAAGGAAAAAAATGGATGACCAGAACTGAATTGCTACTTATCACCAAACTGTACATCATTCAAAGCCACTAGACTGCTGCCTATAACACACACTTAGGCCCAGATCGTAAGCGTCTCCCATTTAGACATTCCATACAGTGAGCAGTAGAAACAAGGTGGCAACTTACTATCCAGGAGGCTCTGAAGACATTTCCGGAGTGGGGCTGACTGCTGAGCTCTGTAAATGTCAAAAAGAGAAAGAAAGAAAAGTGAACATGATTTAGTCTCAGATGTTTCAATCCAAGGGGCGTCCCTGTCCCTTCGCTTCCTAATGTAGCCAGGGCCTCTGGGAGGAGGGGGCCTGGCTGGAAAGGTCTCGGGGGCCGGGAGGGAGGGGCCCTCTTTGTCTCTGGTCTTGACCTCCCGGTGGCTGCATCGAGGCTCCCTGGGGGGTCAGAGATGGCTGCCTGGGCCCTCTGGGGGACAAGCCCACCATTTGGCCAACATGCACTGACAGAGCACACCCTCCCCCAGCGTGCCCCGACCTTCCGACCCCCTGCCAACCCACTGCAGATCCTCCATGCGCCCCAGATGCCACATCCAGAGAGAGGGCCACCCGAAACATTAGGTGCAGAATGCACAGCAACACATTTTAAAAGACCATACTGGGTTTAGATGTTTGTCTGCCCCCGCAGACTTAGACGTGCAAAAAGGGGGAGAAATGCAGGTTTACAGAAGCTATTAATGACCACCTCAGCCTCAGTGGGAAACACTTTATAAGATTACAGACCACGGTGCAAAAGGAGGAAAACAATCGGGAGCTACATGCAGAGAAAAAGCAATGCACTGTGTTGTTTATTTAGGGTTTCTGTTACCTTGGGAGAGAATCAGGCAAAGGGTTCAATATATTGGCTCTTAAAAATAATGTGGTGGTTGAATAAATCAGTGAAAAAGTTAACTCTCAAAGATATTCCTAGCTCTAATACCGACCATTTCAAGGAAAACAAACTACCTGGAGGAGAGAGATTTGAGGAAAGGAAACACCAGGAAAAAAGAAAGAGACTGCAGGAAGGAGGTAACCGTCCTCAGGGGCTCAGCCACCTGGCCCTCTGCCTGCTGGTCCTGGCACTTCTGAGGCACCTCCACCCCAGGAGGTCCCCGCCCTCTCTCCCCATTACTCCTCAGAGAAGGCAGCCCTCTTACCTGCATGTCCATCCGTCCGTCCAGCCCTTTGCCTGCACTGGTCTCCCTGCCCACCCTTCCCCCTTGAGCCTGTCCTTTGGCTTCTGCCCCGTTCTGGATCTCCCCACCTCTGTGGACGATGCCCCGGTCTCCAACGGGGAAAAGTGTTTGCCGACCCTGCTGAGCCCTCTGGGCACCTCCCCCGCACCTCGCCTTCCTCCCGTGATCACATTTTTAATCAGTGTGTACCCCTGGGGATCCCAGTTCCTCTCCACATACTCCAGCTCCCGTCCACCACTCAGCAGCCTCCAAAGCTTTTAGAAACCTCTGGATTATCAAACCCATTGGCCTTTCCTCAGAGTCGAGGGTGGGGACCTCTCTGGAGCACTGGGTCATGCTCAGACCTCTCCTCTCGCTCCACCTCTCATCTTTCCTCCTATGTCTCGGGAATGCTCTCTCTCTGACCCCCCCTTGCTCTCCTGCTGCCACCAACATCCCAACAGGTCCTTATGGATCTTTCATCCTTTCAACAGGATCCTCCCTTCAATCTTTCATCTTCCCCAGATGGGGTGTCTTCATCTGTTCCCGGACGTCAACCATCACCTCTCTTCAGGGGACTGCAACTGCCTTTGTAAGCCTCTGCCCGTCTCACAGAACCTAGTCTTACATTTCAAACTGTCAGCTCCATATGCCCTATGTGATACCCAACCAACATTCAAAACAAATGACCTAAAACCAAATCCTTCATTCAACCTCTCCACCGACTTTCTCGCCATCTTTCTTATGTGACGTACTGCTGTCCCCACGGCTCCCTCTGTCTGGACCAAGGGCTCACGTTGTCTGTTTCCATCCTGTCCCCCAGTGGCCGCAGCTGTAACCCCAGCTTCCGCTCCTTCCCTGGGCTACGTCCCTGGCACTCACTTGACTTTTGGTGCCTCGTCACTCACGCTGGTGGTCTGACCCCTCCTTGCTTTCCTAGCTCCGCTGAAGTATAACACGACCCACTCACAACCTCCACGCTCCCTGCCGTGGTCTGCGGACCCTCCCAGCCTCGAGCGTGCCCACATTCCTCTCCTATTTTCTGTAAAGATCCCCTTTCCTTCAAGGGTCTCTCTTGTTTCTTCAAGGAGCCCTAGGAGCAGATCTCCAAACACTGGGTGTTTTCCTTCCGCTGGGAGCCCATTCACCTCGGACTCCCTCTCTTCCTGACCCAGCCTGTAATAAAGCACGCTTTGACACCGCTCCACTTAAAAATACCAGTGCAGGCCGATTTTCAAATGCTTGCCTGTGGCCCAGTGGTCTGGCCCCTGGAGTGCATTTTTCATCGAGAACTTTCTGACCTTTCAAACCACAAGCGGGGCTGCTCTGGCAGTGCCTGCACTTAGTAAGCAGCGCGCGCGAATCGCTGCCACGCTTTGGAGAATGATCTCCGAGGCTGGTGCCTCCCAAGGCTGCAAAAATGACAGCTGCCAAGCACGACTCCCTGAGAACCCCGAGAGGCGTTCCAAGGCGAAGGCAGGGAAGGAAGAGGGCCGCCCCTGACAGCAGAGGAGAAGGGGAGCACGGAAATCACCAGCCACCCCACGGATACCTGCAAAGCCCCCTTTAACCCTACCAGACCCGAGGCCCTGAACGTAACTGTCCCCTATACCTGGGCTCCTGAGCACTAAAGAGAAAAAACCAACGTGATATAGAAAAATGTTAGTTACATGCAAACAAGTGGTTAGAATAAGATGGAACTTGGAGACACTGTACAAAATAGGTCTAGGCAAAGCACCGAAAATTAGGTACAGCGGTATAGCGGCAGATTCGGAAATTACCGAAAAATCGGTACAGCGGTTTGGAAGGGTTAAGGAAGATGTCAAGCTCCAAAGAAACCAAAGCAAAACTGAAGTTGGGGGAAGGGAATGGAAAACAGCAGCCAGAAAGCCATGCAGCTTCACAATAATCGGCGAGACGGTCCCCTCCTCAGCGACATCCCAAACCGCAGAGCAAAGAAGACAGAACCGCGCTGGGACAGGCGTTGACGGCAGGAGGAAAACTTGGAAGTACCTGCGCCAGGTCTGCACCGGCTGCTTTACTAAGCGTCTCCGTTTTTCCTACGTCTGCCTCTAACTCTGTGCGGCAGAGGCTGAGCTCTGTTTCTAGGTTAGTCTGGCACGAGAAAGAAAAGATGAGAAAGAGCGTTTTAGTTTAGGGGACAGGCAGAGAGAACGGAAGGTTAAGTTTGAAAAGTGAATCTTCTTAGGGTTCTATTTTAATAAGGCAGAGATGGCAAGATTAAACAAAGAGCTCACTGGAAATGACTAAAAGCCACGAGAACAGGGAATGCAGTGTTAGGCATGGAAAATATAAGCCCCATGGTAATCAGAGCTTCAAAACTCTCTTCTCCTGGCTACAGAGAACTACAAATACCACAACACCTGCCGGGAGGAAATACCTACAGCCTCTCTTCTCAGTCTGGTGACTGGCAAATACTACATGTCAGAGTAAGTCATTGCTTAAAGAGCACACACACCTCTATACATCAGTCTATATCTCAGAGACTTTGTTAAACAGATTTATCACCAAGCAAAAAAATAAATAAATAAAGTTATCAAGTTAAAAAAACAGTGATTGAAGAAAATAAGAGCAAAACCCCACAGCACACTCACACTAACCAGGCCAGGAGCACACACACAGCCCCCGGAGAGGCACGCATTACCTTTCTATCCTCTCTAGGAAGGATAGAGCAGTCTCCAGGAGTATAATCCCATATCTTTTTGGGAGGCTGATGGGAAGCAGAGGAGGAAATGGAGAAATGAGCATAAAGACAGACACGGAGACCGGCTCACACAAAGAGGGGCACACCAGGAGGACTCATCAACAGGGAGCTAAGCACGGGCGTGGGCGCTAACTGGGAGCTTCCTTTCTACGTTTCTGTCTCAAGAGCAGATCATGGTTGGAGTCCAAATATTGCAAACTTAAAAGACACAAAGAAAAAAAAAAGCATTAACACCAATTTGAACAAAAATCGAAACTTTAAAATTCCCCGTTGTTGTTTTCAAACTGAGATGGACACAGAGCCCACATTTCTGAAGCAGGCTTCTCCACTGTGAAACTCATTGTTCCTCAATGTGGCAATCTGGAGATTTGGCCAGTGGAGGGTAAATTGCACTGAATGTGTTTTCTGTGGTTTGTGGCAAGTGTACCAGATGGGTGTTAAATTTCCCACGGTGTGACTAGGCAATTTTAATAATCGTTCACTGCTTGCTTAGACATTAACACTGCATGTGTAGAGCCATACCTTCCATCTCCCTTAGAGAAGAGTTCTACTTTGCATTTAAACAGCGGACTGTAAGGCTATTTTTGTTTTTTCCTTTAACTCTTCACGATAGAATTAGGGTACATTCCTAAAACAGAAATCTGCCGGGAGAACCCCTGTAACGTTTAGTGAGGGAGGGGTTCGAATGTAGGACGCTGAAAGTTACAAGCTACTCTGCCCCCAGGTGAACCCTCTGTTCTGTCCACTTAGACTTGAAATTTCTCATACAGCTCCCCCTCCCCTCTGCTGTCACTTAATAGCTCCTGGAATATTGTAATTATATTCATTATAACCAATTAGGGAATTTTATTCAAATTGGTTTACATTGTGACATTTTGCTGTGAGCTTACTTATAGAAATCACATCAATTTCTGTAGAAGTTGGCAGGGGTGTGTGTGTGTGTGTATGTGTGTGAAGCTGACACCCGGGCTCTTAGTAATACATTTGCAAATGAAAAGTAATCTGATTTCAAGATGTATTTACTACCCCCAGCAACAGGACAGCAATGCAATCTCTGTAGACGTATACTCTGCACTTAATAAAGTAAGTGCTATTAACAATCATCAGTTTTTTTTAAGCGCTTTATACACTTCACAGATGGTTCAGATGGGAAGGAGACCTTTGAAAGCCACATACAGTCTCCCTACGTGTCCTGACTACAAAAAATAAGAAAGTGCTTACAAATTAAATTGGTTGTCATTAACGTTCCCCCAAATGGCCCCGGAGTCTGGAACGACTTATGTTCCACAGCACCGGTTAGAGCTGAGCGGTGTTAGAGTCAGCTCTTGCTCAAGTGTCAGCGTGTTTGGTGGGTTTCAGTGAAGGGGCTGAAGAAGGAAGGGGTCCAGGGTAAATGTAGGTCTAGCATCAAAGTCCTGGCAGGCTTTCCTCACTCGGGGTGGGGAGTGGGGTTGAGTGGGTGTGGAATAAAAGGCAGAAATGATGACCCACACGCTTTGGTAGGAGTTTTAATTTCATTCTGCTTCTGAATGACAGCAAAACCTTCAAAAACAACTTTCCTGGTTTATGCCACATTCATTTATGTCTCTTAACCTTGTATGGCCCAGCGCGACTAGGGTAGGAGAGACGTGAAAAGAAGAAAAATATTTCTCCTCAACTCCCCTTCTTACCAAACGCTGAGAGTGCCATCCAGTCATTCAACTTGGTTCAACTAGATAGGAAGCCCACCCTTCGAATGCCTCAGACCATCGGAACTGTGGTCTCAACACTGTTCCCTCCGGATAGACAGCGATTACGTTATTTTGGTAAGTCTTTAAAAGTTTTACCTTTCATTACTTTAAAAGACCTGCACAAAAAAGGAGCAGTCCCCTTTAAGGACCCTAAGGTCTATGTAAGGAACACTTGTAGCTTGAGAGAAATGACATTTTGGAAAAGCATTTCTTTAAATAATTAAGAGGCAGTTAGAACAACATGTTGGGGCGACGAATGACAGGAGGTCCCAGGATACGAATGGGCTGTGCTCCCAGGATCTGTGTGGCGTGGCTGGGGGGCACTCAGACCAGCTTCCCACAGAAGCAGTGTCAATTCACTGAGCTCCCAGAGAGCCTGCTTAGTGTGTGCTGGGGCAGAAGTACTGTCTCTTGCTGACAAAACCAGGATTATTTGCAATGACAGATTTGGTAAAACAAATGATTAATTAGAATCATTTCATGTTTCCTAAAAGCTAGCATTAAAGAGAAAACTATTTTAGTTATTTGGCCAATGAGGAGATGGCTAGAAATTTGTGGACCTGAATGGACTTCGAAATTCAATGGCATGGACTTTTGCTTATACAAAATTCAAAGCAAATAGCTTTTGTTTTCCCCGATGGAAATATGGTATTATTATTATACCATAATACATATATTATTATATATACCAATCACTGGGGAGAAGGGAGGAACTACATATATCAAAAGGATTTTCTGTGAGATAACTGAGTAGGTTTTAAGAAAAAGAAAAGGGTTACAATACTGTTAAATATTTGAATGTGGAAGAGACTGCCTGGGTAGACTCCACTGATGTCTGAATGGTGGACAGCAGGGAAAAAAGGGAGAGAAAGGAGAAGTGAGGTGTGCGTCAAAGCTTTGGGAAGGGGAGATGGGGCACACTCTGGGTTAGACGCTTCCCTCTCCACTGGTCACTAGGTGGCGCTGTTCACCCAGGACAGCTTAGCTGCTATTAGGAGCCAGTGTCCCAGGAGGGACAAGGTGGGAGGAATGTCTGTTCCTACAAGCAGGATGTTTGCAAGTCAGGTGCTCCTCTCAGAAGATGCAGGAACTTTGAAACAAAGCTCAGCATCGCTAAATCAACAGAGAAATCCCAGAGCACCAGCTTAATTTGTCTTTGTCTTCATCTTAATAAAAATATACAGCATGGAATTTAACATTTTACTGAACCATATAAAGTTAATTCCTGTCTGCAGATAAAACCATCACTCCAAACCACGGTGACTCAAATACTGGAGGCAATGCTTAAAATCTCACATGAACATCTAATGCAGTGGCTCTCAACCTTGGCTGCAGATTAGAATCACCTGGGAATCTTTTTAAAATTCTGATTTCTGGGCCTCGTCCTCCAGAAATTCTATTTCTTTGTTATGGGGTGAGGCCACAACATTAGTAACAAAGAAACAGAATTTCCAGAGGATGAGGCCCAGAAATCAGGATTTAAAAAAGATTCCCAGGTGATTCTAATGTGCAGCCAAGGTTGAGAACCACTGATCTAATGAAATATTTTATGTTTATACGCTTAACCCCCCACTTGTAAATGCTTTTTGCAGTTGTGAACATTTAAAGTAACTGGAGTTTTAAAGTCAGTTTCCAGTCATCTCCAGTGGAAAAATGAGCTCCCTTCTCCCTTCTGGTGGGTACTCCTCTGAGTACAGGGCTAAGAAACCCTCCTTTAAGTACCCAAAATCCTTTGGTACCAAAGCCAACTCAGACACATCAGGGGGAAGCTGTGGAATATTATTAGGCTCAACACTACACTTGCTAGAATTCCTAACTCTCATTCAAATTTTGGGAAATGTTATCCTAACTCATAGAGTTCATTCCCTAAAAGTCACCCGACATGGGGTTGTAATCGTGGATCACATCTGCATAGGCCTTTTCTGGCCGCTTCAACACTCCCCTTGCACAGATGCTTTTAGAAGCTCTATCCGAAGCAGTGGCCATGCTGGTCTGCTCACGCTGTGGTGCACTGTCCTGCTTATCTTCAGTATGCCATAGGACTTTGGCCAAGGAACTGAACTGACGGCCAATTCAATGTCATCCACAGGCACATGGCATCGTTGCTAGTGGTGGGGGGGACTAAGACAAGCTAGGATCTAGTTGTGCCTCTAAGGATTTTCTGGCAATAAATCCGGAGCTCACTGTCCTTTCTTGGTGAAGTAAAGCAACGGAAAGCTTACAGATGGTAGTGAGACTAGACAATCCCACCAGGACAACCAACACGGGGCTCCCCGCTCCCCGAAGTCCTTACAAACAGATCTGATTCCTTAGCAGCGACAATGCAGCAACAGCATGATTTTTAAAAATGTCTATAACCACTGAAGCTATTAAACTTACCGGTTTCCCAAACTCCAATTCCGAAAAGAATTTATACCAAGGTTCATTCTTTAAATCTATCTCTTCAGGGCTTATATCCCGACTCTATAAGGGTTGGTGACAGGGAAATGGAAGAGAGAGAAGGATAACATTATGCAAAGATTACATAGGAACAGGCCAGTAGAGATGCAGTGGTTTCCAGATATATACAGAACTGCATTCAATAGCAGCAATCACCCGTTTCCACGGACACTGGCAACATCACGGAGCTAAAACAGATGGGGAAGGACGTGTTTATAGAAACAGGGCCCCTGAGCGAGGGAGCAGTGGGCGCATCACGCTCAGTCCCAAAGCAGGAGGATGGAGTGTGGACGGGGAACTCTGCACACACTGCTGCCCCCCACAAATACGAATGCGGGGACAGCGGTATTTCCATGTTGTGGGAGAAAAGAAGGACCCCATCTCCTCTTCCCCAAGAACTATTAGTTATGAGCAAATAACCTGGTGAGCACACCAAACATTTAGCCACTTACGCCAGGTGAGTAGAGCAGACCATTTTTACGGGCTAGTACAGTTTTAGTACTTATTTGCAAGGCTGCCTTAAGGTTTTCAAAATAAACGCAAATTTTGACACTTTTATCCAAGCCAATTTGTTAATACTGCATCTTTAATGGCACATGAGTAGGTGAGAAACCATGTCCCTTACACAGTAAAGTGAAAGATGATATAAGTAACAACAGAGGACACGAGTGAAAAAACATCTTAAACAAGCTCCCGAGGGGATGGATACAGATAGAATATACTTCATGTTCTAACAAGTAAATGTTAAAGAGCTGGGAAAATTAAAGCGAGGGAAAAGCTGAACAAGACAGATAGCAGAACAGGGGAAGGAAAAACTTCTGGGTTATGTTACAAAAATAAGTTAGATTTCCCACTTTACAGAATTCTCAGGTAGTTCACACAGAGTGATAATGGACCCCAGGGGATTTCAGATTTAATCAAGTATTTATAAAGTCCTGGTACCTTGCTGTGGAATAACGTGTGTTTCTGGCAATAATTAGTTAAAAATGAATGCCTGGAAAGCAAATCATGTTTCCCCCTAATAAAATGGAGATATGTTCACAGCAGACAAAAGTGTTAGAGGCTCATGGCTTAATTAAATTCCAATTAAATTCATACATGTCTATGTTTCAAAAAACCTTGATAGTCACAAGAGGGGGGGGGGATTTTCCGGTAACAGTACGAAATATGAAATGTACATTTCCCACGGAGGTAGAAAATGGTATGTAAGTAACATCACTCCCTCGGGTCCCAGCACAGGAGGAGGGGCTGCGGGCTGTGGACTCCTCAGTGCGCCTGATCCCAAGCAGCTCCCCTGGACTCGGCTCTCTTAACGTTCAGGCCTTTGCAGCTTGTAGGGATGCTGCACACGTCTCAGGGACCTTCACCCATCTCCTCTTCTCAGATCCTTAGAAGAACCTTTCTATTATTCCTACGTTTGTTTTATCTTTTTGCAAGTATAATAAAAATATTTATTTCCATCAGAAGAACTGTCACTGTGATTTTTTTCCCTACATTTGTTTTAAATTGAGGAAGATATGACAGAGAACGTTCCTTTAACTGAAATTCCCTGACTATACGTTAGTTGAAACCAGAGGGAAATGTCCAGCTTAAAACCTCCCCCATGGTCTTTAGGGACTTGGGCTTAAATCTTGAAGGAGACGCCATGCTCCTCCTCAGGGGGCTCTGTAACCATGTAAAAGAATGGATTCTGTGTCTCTTCAGGGAGATGAGGCCCCGTACCCATACTCTTCAGGAGAAACAGTTAAGGCAGTGGGACATCCTAGGTCCTTATATGATGGGGTTTCATGAAACCTATTTCATGTTTATTATTTTTAGAGACTATTTATAAGCTGCTCTCTGGGAATAGGTTAGGCTTTTTTTTTTTTTTTTAATAAAATGTACCAACTCTTTCAGGAAACTGCCTGAATGCTTTGGTACTTGGTCCTGAAAGAATTAACCCATTTTATCACTGAAGGCTACTGGCAACGTGTCCCATGGCTGAGGTTCACACTGTGCCAAGGACTGAGTCAGGAGGTATGTCGAGCAGCTTGGCCCAGGCAGCAGCCTCGGTCCCTCGAGCTGTCCAGGAAGTGAGCGGTAACACACACAGTGCTGCCGTCTGCGTCTGACTGGGCCATGCGTAACTCAGCTGTCCATCGGTGGTGGGACGGACAAACAGCACAGATCCTCCGGACGCACAGCAGGATCTCGGGACGGCAGGCAGGGCAGGCTTCACAATGCCAGGCTCAGTGCTCCCTGCTGGGGCTCCTCTTTTCCCGGCTGGCAAAACCCTTGGAAAGGGCGGGTGCCTTGCCAGGAAAATGCCTGATTCTCCTCAAGGACAGTTTTGTTGCTTGAATAGGAGCCAGAGACCAGCTTCAACTTTTAATTAAATAGTAATCTGAATGCGGTACGTTCATTGGCACAGCACTTCATAATGTTCAGGGTTCTTTTGTCCAGATTCTTGCCCTCAATCCTCTCACTGATGACCTCAGTTCAGGCCAGATAATACTTCTGGTTGAGATGAAAACACCGAGGTTCAGAAAGGTTAAAGGACCTGCTCCGAAACATGAACTCAGAACTCGATCTTCCAAGTCCGGGTTCTCTTTAGCCACATTGCACTTCTCACACTCCCCACGAGAAGGGGGCGGGCCCACTCAGTTTGCAGATGATACGAAGCTAAAACGGGCCTAAGTGACAGACCTGAAAAGCCAGGGAGGAACTCAAAGTGACCCTCAACTGGGAAGAAACCAAACTGAGAAAATCCCCTCATTGTACACTTGCAAATATAAGTTGTGAAATTACTATGCTAGTGTCTCTCCTTCCCAGTCTTCCCGCAACATCTAACCCAGGGCTTGGCATATAAAAGTTATTCTCTCTGTACTTGTTGAATTGAGTCAAAGTCCTGTAAGGGGCTGGGAGGAAAGAGAAAGGGACAAAGCCTGAAAAGGCTATTCCTGACCAAGCAGGGACTGACCAATATCTCCAATCCCAAGGCCAGAAGAGGAGGAAGTGGATTCGCGCTACGGTCAGACAGGCCAAGCAGTTATGAAGAGCTTCATATGATTTTGCCAAGTAGCTGAGTAGCTCATCAAATCTGTGCGTCTCCTGGTGGGGTTTCTGAAGGTGGTATAGTGTTTTATTTCTCTCGGTGGCTGGCATTTGCTCCAGGGGCAAAGATGAGCTCCAAGGCAGCCTTTACAGTCTGCCATTCAACCCTTCCTGCACACAGCAGATAGGTGTGCCAATGAGGTCGCAACTTAAATCGCCAGGCTTAAGCAGACACGAGTACCTCAAATTAGAAACAAAAGCATGGTTCCCCTACTCTCCCCTCCCTTCCCAAAAAGGAATTGTGTAATCCTGAGAGCAAATTTAGATTCTACACCTGTCACTAGCTAGTACACTCATCCATAGTTAGTGTGTGTGTGTGTGTGTGTGTGTGTGTGTGTGTGTGTGTGTGTGTGTGTGAGCTGGGGGTGGGAGTTTTGTCTTCAAATTCTGGCAAAGCTGATGCGGGATGTTTAAAGGGAAGACTCACACACTGAAACCAACATTTCAACTTTTCTGTTCAAAGATAGGTGAGAAAGAATTCAAACATAAAGGATTAACTTGACTACTGTGAAGAGTGGCTCAAAGATGAGGTTTGACTGAAATTTCTCTCTGAAACGAAGTCTCTGGAGGAAGAGCGCTAAGAGTGGAAGCTCGTAGGTGCAATGCGATGGGCCCTCTGGAGCTTCCGTCCCCCGACAGACAGGATGGGCCTAGTCTGGGCAGACACAGGGGCTTCTGGGTAGGAACACAGATGGTGCTCTGCGATCCATGCGTGTGATCAGGGCAGGTTCCCAAAGAGGGCGCCTATAAGCTACTATGTGTTACTTCTCTGGGTTTGTAAACACATGGAAGATATTTGTAACCACGGTGATATCAAGGAATGAAACAAAACTATGTTATTTTATTCCTAGTTCTGAATTGGTGGTCAAATTATTCGGAACTAAGGAGAGGAGGGGATAACAAAGAAGAAATTTTAGGGGCAAGGCTTTGTGAGAAGTGACCACCTGTAAATAGTAATACTGCCAAACAATGCACCCAAAGGCCTACAGACTCTGAGGCCATTCACGTGCGCTGGTATGTGACGGTGTGTCCTGACTTGTTATTCCAGTGTCAGGAATACACCCAGAGCGCGGCTTTCTCTCCTGGAACACCTGTGGGGAAGGTTACCTAATGAGGTTATCATCTTCTAACACGGAGAGAGCCTCCAGTGAAGGCTGGAGCCACAGGCAACATTCTCCGCTCCTCTCTGAATTTTTTGCTTAAAATAGCTGCAGTGCACAGAAAATGCTGAGGAATGACAATCGGGAGCATTTCTGCAGGCTGCTTTATCCTAATTAAAATTACTGATCCCTTTGTGCTTTCAAAGATGTCAAACTTTTATCTTCGTCAAAGTGAAGTCAATCACTCCTGAAAAACACGTGGCATGGGAGAGGCAGAGGGAGAAGAAGGCGCCCCCACACCTCAGGGGTTACTTGCTCTGTGCTCAGTGTGGTAGCAGCATTTTAATAGAATCCAGTTCCCAGCATGACAGCTCCATCCTGCGGGCCCGGCGGAGGCTGCGGTGGCACGAGCTTTGGAGAATCCCGTTAACCACGATCAGAATCCTGAACCAGCTTTTCAAAGGAAGGATGGATAAAAGGAATTGTGATGGGTAGGTAGGAAACTAATGGGTTTGTACAAATCCTTCCCCGTTTCACAGAAGAGGCCGCTTTTCCAGGGTGGTCTGCTCTGCCCACAGGCCACTTCCCCACTTAGAAGAGATGTGAACCATAAATCAGACTGACTATGAAATTCGTCCTCGATACTGCACGTGTCCGAAAAGGAAGACCTAAAACACATGTTTTAACAGCCTGGGGCTTTCCCCCCTCAAATCACAACATCGTATTAATTACTTAGCTTTTGGTGATGTACTAGTAGTACCTTCTACAAAATTTATGCATGTTCAAATAAGAGGCACTTAAAAACACACACCACAAACTTAGTCCAGTTAGTAATAAGCCTGCCAAATTAATGGTTAGATGTTTAAAAAGAAGACAGCAGCAAAATCAATCTTTATGTTAATAGAAAATTCTAAATTAGTTAGAACCATGCACAAAAAGCGCCAGAAAGCCACAAGACGAGCTTCTTTCAAAGCAGACTCTCAGGGCTTATGTTATGAACACCTGCAAAAATGAAAAGGGTAAAAATACTTCATTTTTTCATTGTCTTCTAAACAAAGCAAGTCTATCTCAAGGAAGAAAGAAGGGGATGCAAGTGCACAATGCATCCGGATCAAAGAACACGACCGGGTGAGACAAAGGGACTTTAATATTCACATTACCATCTTTTCGTTGTTCAGAACGGAAGACCTGCCCGGCTGATACTCGTATATGCTTTTGGGCTCTGCACGGTATTTCCTTGTATCCACTTTCTTATCTGGGGGCTCCCAGTCGTTTCTGTAGAAAGAAAATCCTATTAGAGCTGTTTTCATGAAAACTGGCCTCCAACACGTTCTGACATTGGCTGACTGTAGTCTAATCAAGGAATTATTAAACCCAAAGCATAAAATCGGACTCGGTGCAGAGCATTTAGTTGTCCTGGTTCCCTTCTCAAAACCACCAGTTAAAGCTCTGGGTTTGCTTCACAAAAGGCCTAAGGTACCAGGAACCAGGTACCAGGAAGCAGAGAAGAGAGGGAGGCAGGGAGGGAAGCACAAAGCTTGCTCTGCTCTCCTGAGCTTATCATTCCCCAAACACGCCTGCACTTCCCACTCATGCTCGTGCAGGGAGAGAGGATGCAGGTCCTGGAGCCAGTCAGCTGTGTTTCCAATCCCTGCGACAGTACTTGCTCGCTGGTGATCCAGGCTACACACTTTACCTCTTGCTACCTTAGTTTCCTCATCTGAAAAATGGGGTTGTTGCAAGGATTAAATGAGATAGTGCATGTAAATCACCAGGTCCACAGTAACTATTCCGTAAATATTATTTGCTATTGTAACCGTGGTGTTTCCTATTCCACACTTCACCCCAGTAATCACCCAAATTGCAGCCTTTGGCACACAAATTCGACCGGATCCAGTGGTGGGTTTCAGAGGAGATGAATCCCTGAAAACTGTTTGCAGAGTTTTTATGCCCGCACATGACTGCCTTTGCACTGTGATTATATTTAGTTTTTGCTGCAAGGCAGGGATGATGATTTCTATATGCTTATATTCCCCCACAGCATGTGGTCCCGTCTGCACCCAGAACGCACCCGGTTTGATGAATGCCATTGCAAAGAATTTATAGGCCGACCCAACCTTCCTCTCAAATTCATTATCTAACTCCTGAGGCAGATGCCACTTATGCATGTGTGGGGCTTTCAAAACAGCTATTCAGTTGTCGACGAAGATGGAAAAGGTATGAAGGTGTGAAACTAAGTGTGTTTTTCAGGAAAAATAATTCATTTTGGCAAGAGCTTCTTTTGTGCTGAGAAGCAGTGGGAGGTGGGTGGGACACCAGTCCAGATGGCATAAGAAGGTTGCTCCATGGGCACCGTAACCCAAGGAAAGAATATTGGGTCATTCCATGCGGGCGTCAAGACATGACTAACGTCATCATTACAGCCAATCCACATTGATGTCTCAATAATATGTGCTGTGCAAATAAACTGATATTAAAAAGTGTAACTTCATGTTAAAATTATATTCTCCGCTAAGGGCTCCATCAGTAAACACAGAGAGTATAAAAACACATGACAAAGCTTACAGCTAAGGTTTCTCCTGTGAGAAGGTAAAAAGTGATGAGTTATAGCCAACGTGAATTAAGCCCATACTTGGCCAGGCACTGAGAAATGTTATATGCACTACCTTGTCTTGTCCTTGCAACACCCCTGACAAATGTAAAATGTGTCCCCATTTATAGGTAAGAACATGAACTCTGAAAGAAAAGGTCGCTGCTAACACAGGACAGAGAGGGACTCCAGGTCAGGTCTGCACAACTCCTGGCCCCACGGCTGCTGCCCAGCAGCGAGAGGTGGGACCTGGCTGCCACACTGCGTGGCAGCCTGAAGTCACAGTGGATCGGGGAGGAGGAGCACTTACCTTTCTGGGCCTGATTTCAGGGAGGAAGCGCGGGCCGGGAGGGGAAGTGTGGCTGACCGCTTAACTACCTTCTCACCGTCAATGTAGCTCATCTCACTTTTTGAGCGAGGCACAGAAAGGGGAGATTTTGCTGGGGAAGAAAAGTGGGTACAAAAGACTTAAAACTGGTGAAAGCAGGAATTAGGAAGAGGCTTCCCCTTATCCAATGCGCCCTCTTCCCCCCATGCTCAGGAAATTCTGTCACTTACTATCTTCAGAAAAGGAGTATCGAGGAGAGTACAGATCTGAATCATCATCTAGTGAACAAAACAAAATGCAATCAGGAGAAATCCGGCTGAGGCAGGAGAACGAGCGCCCTGTGCCCTCCTGCCGACGCTGGAAGCAGGGGCTGAGATACCTCCCTGGATGCTCACCCCGAGTCTCTGGTCTAGCCTGCGTGGTCCTCGGAGTCCCCCAGGCCCGCTACTGGGTGGCGTTGTCGGGGAAGAGGTGTGTTTTCTAGTTCCCCACCTCAGCTGTGACCTGTTTTATATGCTAAGGTTCCCTAGTCAATATCATTTAGCAAGCAGGCTCTGCAGCTAAAAGAACATTCGGAGAAAACCCCCATAATCGTATTTTGATTCCACCCCGACCTGGTTCCTCAAGGCACTTTTTTTTCTGGGATATAACACAGCCATGGCAGGTGCGGTTATGCAGTTTGCTCCACAAAGGCGCTGCTCGGGGCAAGTGTCTGGAATAAGTCAGACGCCCAGGGGTTTCTGTAAGTGCGAGATGCCCTCCGAGGGCACGACATGTCCCTAAAGAAGCTGGGCATTGGGCTTTCAGACTTGGGAACCGAGATAAGATCTGAACCCCCGTGCAAGTGGCTGCACTGCACTGACACTGAGACTACAGGCGCACTTACAGGGACAGATTTCACAACTGGGAGTGTCCTGAGAATGTCAGGTATTTGGTCACTATCCCCGCGATGACCCCTCCAAAGTGTTGAAACAGTTGGCCTTTCCCATCCTCTAAGGTCTCGCTAACCCAAACTCAGGATTCGTGAATGTGGACTGAAGACCCAATACCTTCCCTTCAAATCTTAGCAAGTTTACAAAACACGTGAACTAACCTGAAAAGACAAGTCAAAGAATCCAGTACATGTTAATGACTAAGTGTTAATCAAGTCTTTGTCACTATAAAAATCATTTTTAGTCTCAGAGTAGTACAGGTCATAATATTTTGCGCAATGTAAATAAAGCTAAGACAGCTGTTATTGTGAGTTAAGTATTCTGCAAAGGCAGCCTCTCCCCCACCCCCTTCTTACTCCCTTCACCTCTCCCCATTTTTATCTGTCCCAGGACTTCCTCACCGCCTCCGCCCCCGCAAATAAAGAAAAGCCATCAGGTACCCAGTTATTTTGCCCACCTCCTTCCCCATCCCTCTCTCTGCGTTAAGGCTAGGGTTAGTCAACATCAAAGCTGAACAGGCCCAAGGTTCCTTCTGTCAACACAGCCAGGCCTTTCCCTGCGATAAGCTGAGCGGGTGAGTGTCGTTAACTGTTGAGAACAGGCCAGAAGAGATAAAGTGGCATCTGGAAATATGTATTTCGAAGAATTTTGTTTTAAACAGAACTTCTGATTACTGTACTGATAAAATGCTATGATGTCAAAGAAAACTAAAAATCAACCTTGATTGGAGGCATTTGACTGGAAAAATCATGCCTGTCAAATGAAAAATTAGCCTAGTTGGGAACCAATGTACACAGTGCTTAAAATCCAGTCTAGCATTTTAGCTCAAAACTCTGCATCTCTCTGAGCCGTGGAGACTTATAGCCTTTCTGTAACTGGTAACGTGAGGGTTAATTCCTATTACCTGTTCTTGAGGTAAGAAAAAATGGGGAAGAAAAAGGCACTTAAAGATTCAAAGAAAAAATTTTAAAAACCCTGAGATCTTTAAAAATATTTTCTCTCTAGAGCTTTCTAATGTGGATTTCTAGAAGATTTTTTTTCTAGTCCTCACCTGAGGATATTTATTCTTTTTTGTTTGTTAACCTCCTGAGAATATTTTTTCCATTGATTTTTAGAATGGAAAGGAGGGGGAGAGAAAGAGGGAGAGAGGGAGGGAGAGAGAGAGAGAGACAGAGAGAGGTGTTCCTCCCGCATGCACCTTAACCAGGGATTGAACCCACAACCTAGATTTGTGTCCTGACTGGGACTTGAACCTGCAACCTTTTGGTGTATGGGACAATGCAATAGAGCTATCCAGCCAGGGCTAGAAGATTTGTTAACAGAAAATGAGAAATAGTTCTTATAAGATGAAAGGAATAGCTTGGAGTGTTAAACAATTTATGTATTTTGAAAAGCAGAAGTAGGAAAGATGGGGGTGAGGGCAACAGATAAAATGAATGAATGATGTTCTTGAAGCTATTTCTTATTTGGTGCAGGAGGGGAAAGAAACCTTGCCCACCCAGTGGTCATGGGATCCAAGTCTGGCATGTGGATTTCAGTTCATCAAACCTTTAAGAGGGCAAATGAAGTTGTACTAATTCATCTGAATATCCAGGGTACATATAATCTATTCTTTAAATTTTTTGTTAGTCTTGCAAAACGAATGGAAGAAAATTTTACCCGTGCTTATGAGTAAAAATAATAGCAGCTCCCATTATTAAGTGCCTAATAATAGCCAGTAATGTCCTAGTATCACTTAATCTCTGCAATAGGAAATACATAAATATCTCACATACAGACAAGGACATTAAGGCCCAGGGAGGTCAGGAAATGTGCCTGGAGCCTCGCAGTAAGAGACAGAGCACGTCTTTCTGACTCCACTTCCCTGGGCCGCCTCTAAGCCCTGAGCTAGGGATGGGTGCCTTGTTCTGGGTTCATGCTCCCTAGCTGCCCAGTCCTGGGGGAAACTGGCTATTCCTTTTTAATTTATATCATGCAAGAGACAAGGGAGAGTGTTGTTCTGCGACTCAGTCCTGCCCTGCGTCCTGGCCTGCCTCCCAGGCCTTGAGGCCTTTGCTCTGTTTTTCTGCATCGTCCCCTCCCTGGTGACACTTAGGCAAGTTTGCTGCGTTACCCCACCACTCTTCAGTTTTCCTCCTGCTGGTCTCCAGGGACACGGGTAAAACCGAGTCACTGTTGCTACATCTCCCGCTTGCTGCTTCTTGCTCTCCAGGCCTGGCAGGCTAAGTCCACACTGGGGGAGAGGGGTATGAAGTTCAGAATGGTAGTGAATGGGAAAACTGGTTACCTGTCTGTATGGTCTATACACTAGGGTTAGCCAAAAGGAGACAGAGAGAGACAAAGAGGTAGAGAGAGAGAGAGAGAGACAGGGAGAGAGACAGAGACCCATAGAGACACAGAGAGATGGAGAGACAGAGAGTTAAACCACAGTCCAGATAACATTAAATAAAACATTTCTCAAATTGTCCAAGAACATGGACATTGTCAGTGTCTGAAATCCTGCCTTTACTCTTTCTTTAGCGTCTTTTTTTTGTTTTGTTAACCCTCACCTGAGGCTATTTTTCCCATTGCTTTTCAGAGAGTAGAAGGGAAGAAGGGGGAGGGGGGAGAGAGAGGGAGAGAGAGAGAGAGAGAGAGATGTGAGAGAGACACATCAACTGGTTACCTCAGGACGTGTCCCTGACTGGGAATTGAACCCAGGAACCTTGGGTGTGCAGGCCGACACTCGAACCACTGAGCACCACCGGCTTGGGCTCTTCAGGGTTTTTAAAACGATGCCATAGTGGGCTGAGCTGAGCCGGGATCCTGTGATTCTTACTCGTGGTGGAGCCACATGCTGACTGTGCCCCTCAAAGCTGCAAACATCAAACCTTGGCAGCAACGCTCAGAGCTTCCCGTGCCAGCCACTTCCAGGAAGCTCTAACACTGAGGGGATTCACCGGGTGAACAGCTCACTCCAGGGTCCACGGACCCTGCTGGGCTCTGTTGTCCACACACCCGCGACGCCGCTCTGGGCTTTGGCAGTCTGTCCTGCAGGCGCATCTGGGAACAGCTACTCCTTGACACTGCCAGGAGGCACATAATTGCCTTTTCAACCACAGTGACTTTAAAAATGAACTTCTAAAAAAAGACTTTCTTGGAGAATTAATGACAATCTTAAAGACACTGGAAAAAGTGCTAGTTGAGAACGATTGTTCTATAAAAATTATGTAATTGACCAAAATGGGATGGGCCAAAAGCAGTATTTGCATAATCACTTGCCTATATCAATTAAGTTTCAATTTTATGCATTTCTTCGACCTTGAGAAGTTCAAATTATTTCTCAATATCAACAGCTTGTTTTAACAGTCTTTTTCCACTGCTCAAATTAATTCTTTCTCCTACTTTAACCCATACACTTAGGAAGAAAGAGGATAAATGGGTCACATGAGAGGACACACACCTCCAACAAAAAGATTCAAAGAAGAAGAGAGACCTATACAGAGGCAGAGACCACGTCTGGGTGGAGGGAAGAGGAAGAATTTACAAGATAGGAAACGGGGCAAGTTGGTCAGTAGCCCAGGGAGCTTGGGGGGAAGATTCCTCAAGCTGCCTACGTCCCCGTTAAAGGCAATCAAATTTTAAGGGATGAACACAGATCAATACAGGGTGTAGATAGCTATAGAAGACAAATTCGGGGAAAAGTAGAATCTGAAGGAGGGGGAACAGGAAAGGAGTGAAAGCTGGAGAAAGACTCACCACCTCATCTCCTGGGGCAATCCTGGCCCTTGAAGGTGGGAAGTTTTGCGGCGGTCAGACTCCCGTGTTTGTAGGCGGAGGCCTCGGGCAGCTCTAGCTAGGAGAGCAAAGGTGACCGCGGGGAGCGGCTCAGCCCCTCCTCTGGGCAGTACTAGCTGGAGTTTGGGACAGGAGGCACAGATCCTGGCCAGGCATCTTCACAATAGAAGGATTTGCTTGAACTCAAGCAAAATAAGGCTATTCTTAGAAATCCTGTAAGGCCAGCAGGGGATTATTTTAACTCAAATATAGATGTGACTGGGAAAATCAGCCTCCTAAATCCTTGCCTTAGTGCATCCTCATCGAGAATTGAGGGAAAAGCTCAAGGCGACAGACCCGTAGGACATGATGGGTCACTGCGACCTGGGGATGTCTTGGGGATGGTGTCTTAAGTCACTTTGCCAGGAGGTGGCAGTGGCCACGATTCACCTGACAGTGGCGGCAGAGGCCCCGGATAGCAAGGGGACACCACCCCTGGCCGGTGTGGTAGCTCTTCATCCTGACATGGACAAGGGGGTCCTCTCAGGCCATGGACCACGAGGTTTTACTGCTAATTTGGAGGCATCAATTGAAAATATCTTCTATTTTCACCCACAGGATTTTTGAATCTGTATTCCCCACTCTAATTCTATATCCAAACCCCTCAAATTGCGCCAGCGAGTGTCTTCCTCTTCTGGAGGGTGGAAAGGGTGGCATTCCTCCATCCCAGTGGTTCTCAGTCCTGGCCGGTGTCAGGGAGCTTCCCTGACTTCATACTCCCAGGCACCGTCCCGGGAGACACCGGCTCAGCCTGGGAAACATGACTCAGAAGCAGGGCAGGCCCGACGCCTGGAATCAGGCATCAGAGAGACCTTGGGCAAGGGGGCCAACCAAGAACACAGAGCACAGCCGGAGAGGAACGGGAAGCAGCAGAGCAGAACAGAGTGCATAAAAGCCCATGTTTGCTGGGCCCCCGAGACCTGGGTTTGAACCCTGGCGCTGCCACTTACTGTGAGATCTTGCACAAATCACTTAATCTTTCTGAGCCTCACACCCTCTATTGGTAGAATGAGGTTGCTGGGAAGATGAAATGACATGACGACGGTGATGCACTCAGCACGGAGCCTGGTATTTGGTAGGGGCTCCACAGAGGGCAGTGAGGCACAGTCATCGCAGTGGCTATGCTACTATTACTATTAGTTATTAATAGGATTCTGATTGTGAGCTGCTGGGGTGCTGGCCACCACCCTGCTATTTCCTAGAGCAGAAGGGAGGAGGAGGGGAAGGGGTGTTTCGGAAGTGGTTTCTCCACAGCTTGTTCCTCTCGCTCCCGCTTTAGCAGGAAACCCTGGGCAGGATGGCTGAAGACTCCTTCTGGCAGCCCCTCCAGGGTCTGGGTGCAGCAGAGGGTGGGGCGATGCTGGGCTCCATCAACATCCCTGCTCCCCACCCCCACAATCTTTTCTGACTTGCTGGTATCTCAGAGGCAAGGAAAGGACATTTGCTTTTGAGAGAGAGAATGGAGTGTAATTCCCAGGCAAGTAACTCTGGGTCAGAGAGGAAGGAATGATGGGGAGGAAGGGGGTGAAATGAAAGCTTGTTTGTTTGTTTGTTTGTTTTCTTAAAGAAAGTAAAACTCATTTGCTTAGCCTTCTTTGAAAGTTATTCCCAAAGGACTTTTGGTAAATTATTATTTTTTATTAGCTTCCTAAGGACCAGGGAATGTAGTAAAATGACAGGAAATAAGTCTCCCGAATTAATTCTACTCTCCCCAAATTTCCTAGCCCCCTTCTTCCCAACTGCCTCATGAAACAAGGAGGAGCAAACATCACACTGCGCCTGTCCCATAGAGCGCGCTCCAAGATTACAAAGCAATTAGAAGGGGCTGCTCCTTGTTGGAATTTACAGGTTTCTTTAAAAGGATATTTTAAACCTCATTGATTAAGACATGTTAATCTTACTTATCTTCTGAAAGTCTGGCCAGAAGTTTACTTTTGCACCATAGTGAGGGGAAAAAGAAGGTTGCTCAGCCAGCATAAACAAACTTTCATGTGATCCTTTACTATTCGGGAGAACCAGCTTTGAGACACTTGGAAATGTCTTTTTTACACTGTATAAAAAACCAGAATCTAGACAGCGGCGGCAGCTGTAGGCCAGGTTTTGATAGGTTTATTGCAAGTTTCAAATTCTGAATTAAACAAAACAAAAAACCAGCAGCAACAACAGTCTCTCCTCCCCAGGGGATGAACTCTGGAATGAGGGCTCACATCTCTCAGTCAAGCTGTCTATTTTTTATTGCTCATTAAAAACTTGGGGTAGAGCCTCTGTGAGGTGCTAATCTGTCTTTAACACCTTTCCCTGAACGGCATAAATCTTCCCCATGCTGAGAAGGGTGTGCAGGCGCAGGGGCAGGCGCAGGACTGGAGCTGCACCAAGGGCAGGCTGAGGAGGACCTGCTGGGCTCACGGCACAAGCCACAAGACAGAGAATCTCTTACAAGTTACAAAAATTAAAATTAAAAAAAACGATTTTCAAAAGTGATTGAGTCAAACGTTTCACTCACTTGTAAAAAGCCCTCATCTAATTGAATGCATCTGTGCTCTACCTCGGAGGAATCTGTCATCTAGACAGGAGCGTGGGCAAGAGATGAAATCTACCCTATTTTTAAAAGATCTCCAGGGAAGAAGACTTTCTTAGAAATTTGTGTTCAAGTTTAATCATATTGGGTATTATGAATTTTTTCCTTTTTGGTCTTTGAAAATAAAAAAAAATAACGTCTGGCCCTAGCCGGTTTGGTTCTGTGGATAGAGCAGCTGTGGGCAAACTACGGCCCGCGGGCCGGATCCGACCTGTTTGAAATGAATAAAACTAAAAAAAAAAAAGACCATACCCTTTTATGTAACGATGTTTACTTTGAATTTATATTAGTTCACACAAACATTCCATCCATGCTTTTGTTCCGGCCCTCCGGTCCAGTTTAAGAACCCATTGTGGCCCTCGAGTCAAAAAGTTTGCCCACCCCTGGGATAGAGCATTGGCTCAAGGAATGAAAGGTGCCAGCTCAATCCCTGGCCCTGTTCGGGGCACATGCAGGAGGCAACCAATTGATGTTTCTGTCTCTATCCCTCCCCTCCTCCTCTCTTTCTGAAAAACAAAAACAAAACAAAAACAACCAATGGAAAAAATATTCTTAGGTGAGGATTTCTGCTCCTAAATTATAGATGAAGAGTTGTCATGTCATCCCTTATTGTTTAAGCCTTTAGACAGAATAACCCTAGTTCCCCCATGGGCCTGACTTGATGTGTACCAGAGGCAGACGTCACCGTTGGCCAGGGTTGCTAGGTGTGGCAGTGGGTGACGTGGCAGCTCTGGGTGTGAAGCCTGAAACCCTGTCTTCAGACCAACAGCCAGGCTGACCGTGGCAGCTGCTGGCACTGCCTGTGCCAGGCCTACAGCAATTTTCAATGGGCGTTACTGCTTCTTTCACAGCATTCTCCAGGTGCCCCTCCTCTGCCCACAGCTACGGGACAATATGCCTTCAGGCACGGCATGCACTTACTACAGATGTGAACCCTACCTTATTGAGTGGGTTAGGCTCCCAGGCCCAAATAAAGCCAAAATAAAAAAGTCAAAACTACCTTGAAAAAATCCCCTTGTCCTCAGTCAATTGTTTCATAAGCAGTGTTTTTGGCTAGACTCGGTACCCCAAGATAAAAAGACTAGGTTATCTCACACCAAGTAGACTTTTGTTGGCAGTGAGGTGGTCAAAGATTAAAATTCAATCATCAGCTTTTAATTTTTACATCTGCTTTGGTATGGTAGACTTTTCTTTTCATTCAAATTAGGCCCGAGGCATGAAATGGTTGGAAACCAAAGATTATCACAGAAAAACAGGGAGGCCCAAAAGGGAATATGGAGGGGAAGACAGAGAGAAATATCGATGCGAGAGAAACACACTGATTGGTTGCCTTCTGCACACACCCTGACCAGGGCCCAGGCTGGGGAGGAACCTGCAATTGAGGTATGTGCCCTTGACCCAAATTGAACCCGGGACCCTTCAGTCCAAAGGTCGATGCTCTATCCACTGAGCCAAAATGGCTAGGGTGGGAATATGGTCTTTTAACTAAAGCTGTATTTACATCCCAGTGTGTAATCTCATAAATATTAACTGATCAATAAAAGTTTGGTGAATGACTTAATGGATGACCTTACCAATGGTGAGAAGGGCTGTGGGAAGTTTGCTGACCTAATTAGAGCAGAGAAGAACCGAGGTGGTGGCTCACCTTAGAAGACAACTCTGACTCCATGGTCCAAAGCCCTCACTCATCAACACTCGCCAGGTACGCACCGAGGACCTGCTGTGGCCTTTTGGACACATGCTTTTGCAGATGCCACCACGCTGCTCAGAGTACGATGGAGTGGCCTTGCCTGATTCCCTGCCAGATGTGGACTTTTGGGAACAGAGGACTTATCTTATTCATGGCACTAACCTCCGTCCCCAGGACAGGGAATGGCACAAGCAAGGGCTCAACCCTGCCTGAATGGATGAAGGTCAGAGCATCCGACCTCTCGTCCTGGAAGAGCACAGAGGGAAACTTTCTCCTGCATGTCCCATGCTCTTTCCTCTTTCCGGGTCACTCCTCAAAGATCAGACAACCCCTGGGACTAGAATAATTTCCAGGATGTTGCTCTGAACTTGCCTATTAGAACCTTCTTTGACACCTAGACTTTTTGCCCTAGAGAAGACTATCTCTAGGTGTAAGTGTGACTATCCTCCCCAGCATGTCCAAATTTCTAAGCCAGCTCTTTCATGAAATATTTCATAGTTTGGCCAAAGCCTTTATTTTCAAGAAATATCATTTCCCGCCATGATGAATCTCATACCTGGATACCTCTTCGGGAATTCCCTACCAAGGAGCTATACCCTGAGGGTCCATGACAAGAGGGTCCTAGTGATGGAGTTAGTTGCACATACAGGAACTGGGTAACTTTTCTGCTGACAGATGACACATCTACCTCCTGCCCACCAGCCGTAAGACTCAGCTTCCCTGAGTCAATGCCCCGCCACCCACAATACCCTGTGACCACCCCAAGCATAAAGCCCTGGGTGGCTGGATATGGCAGCTTTTCCCAGAGCTCCACATGCTCACAGCATCATAACTAAGGTACACTGGCTAACCCATTCATCATGTAGATTCCAAAGAAATAGGATTAACACACCATCTGGACAGACTCCCATCACACAGTCAGCAAGGAGCAAGACAACACCACATAATGCAAGGTTGGAGGAAGCAAATGATTGGGAGACAGCCCTTAGCCACCAGAAAAAAACCCAGGATGAGAGAGAGGAACAGCACCGGTAAAGGGAGACGCACATGATTTTCCTTTAATTACCTTCAGATTTAGGACTAGGAGTAGATGCAGGAAACTGGTAGGTAGGAGTGTAAGGACTGTCCTCTGTAGCAGAGAGAAGCAGTGGATTTTGAAACGATCCACCATGAGGTGGAGGAACTGACCGATCCCCCACTGACTCTTTCCAATGAGTGATTACCAGTTTAGTGTTATTAAAGCCCGTGGGCATCACACCTAAAACAGGTTAATGTATTAGCGAGGTCTTAGTCATTTTAATATAGCACGTCATGCAAATGAGTGAAATAAAATTTTCGCCAACCAAAAACAACTATAGAAATAAAATCTAAAAGCCAAGTCTCATTCCTATAATGGAACTATAAGAATTAATTTAAGGCTAGCACAACAGATACACTGTCTAAGTTTATGGTACCTTCAGAATTGTGCTGGATTTCAGGAAGTTCAGGGAATTTGTACGTAGGGAAATAAGGGTTTTCTTCAGGAGTGTCTAGGCAGAGGAGCAGGTTTGGGAGAGAGAATAGAGGAAGATACAAATGGAGAGAATGAACGAGTAGGAATCCACACACAATTTAGGCTCCTTGAATTCCGGAACATAAGCTTCACTAGCGATATGAGAGAAATTCACACTGCGTTTAAAAATCCAGTCCTTTTGCCTGAAGTACTGAGACACACCTAAAGAGACCATATCATTTCTTTTCTTTGACAAAGAATTACGTACATATAGGCTCCAGAAAGCAAGAGGCATTTAACACAAAGCGTCAAGTTTTTACCTTTTATAGGCAAAGAATATTAAAGTTTGCTAATAAATAGTATGTAATGAAAACACTATCATAAAATGTTTTGTAAAATAAATCAAACCTCGTGCTGTGGACATTGGAGTCAAGGCAAACAACTGAGGTTTTCATCTTTCCATACCTCTGCCTACCATGAAGGCAGACAGTTTTGTTCAGGACCTGCAGTTGAGCAGTTAACAGCTATAACATGTGAGTGGCCCACACTGCTGGTGAGGCAGAATCACATATTTTTCACACGTGTGCCTGTATCCCCACATCGGGACTGCCAGAGCTGGGGCTAAAGGCTAAAGGTGAGACACAGCTTGCTGGAGGAAAGGGACATCAGCTTCAGGAAGTAACCAGAGGAATTGGCACTATCCAATCAGAGAGACCTGGCCATTAACTTCGCCATCCTGACGGAGCTCATCCACCCAACTACAGTGGACTTTCTTTTGGCTCCAAAACACAGAACACGAGCATCTCAATATTTAGAGAGTTTGAAGAGGGGCACCACTGAACACTGCAGGGGTAATTAACAGTGACCTTCACTGGCATCCACAGCTCATCAGAGAGATTGGTTATTTGTGGCTTAGGCCAACACTGACCAGACACTTTTTCTTTGCCTGTGTGTGTCATCCGTGCCAGGCAGCCAGACTGGATTTGGCCACATGGAAGGACAGGATGCTCTGCCTGAGGGAGGCGTGGTACCTTCCCATGGTGCAGCTGCATCCCTGCCTATCAGCTGACTGGCGGCAGAGGCGATGGGAGCTGGAGGGTTATGACCTGCCCGAGCACTGGCCTGGGGCTCTCCCACCATGCGGAGAACCTGCTACCACCCAACCGGCCCGACTTGGAAGCACTTCTCTTCCAGCGTGAACGGGCTTTGGACTGTCAGCTCTTGACTGACTCAGGGCTACCTGCCAACGGCTGGCTCCAGATGGGGAAGATTATTTTTCATATTAACACCACCTTACAGGGGGAGAAGGCGTGCTGTTCACAGGCAGAATTTGCAACATCCCTTGGAGGAAGGGAAGCAGGACAGACAGAGAGAGGTAGGTGATTGGTCCAAGACCAGATGAGTCCTGGGGAACTGACTCCAGGTCAGAACAGTTTTTAACTCCTGGTTCAGTGCTTTCTCAACCTGCTCTCCTACAAGGCAGTCACGGGCTGACATGAGGAGGTGCCCTTAAAGCTGGAAGCAGGGGTAAGTTGGAGCAGCTTGCATCCCAGGCAGGCAGATGCCAGAACGCAGGAAGCAGGGCCTGTAGCATCCCACAACATCTGGGCAGGACTTCTACGCTGACCTCAATCCCCTACGTGAGGCAGGCACCCAAGTGCTCCCTCCCCCCATTGGCTCTGGAGGTGGCTGCTGGGCTCAGGCAGGCTGGCGCTTAATGAGGTCAAGCCGCAGGGGCCAGTCCTGGCATCCTAGCAAAGGGGGTTTATGCCCTCACCACAACAATCAGCATGGGAGCACAGCAGAGCTTCTACAAGAGCAAACCAGTACCTCTGTTTAGTTTGTGGATCTGCTTAAACATGGTCTTGTACCAGTCTTTGGATCTCTCGGTGTTCTGGAGAAAGAGAAAGGCAAAGAGTAACATGAAACGGAAATCTTGGTACATTTCAGAACTTCTACAATTACAACAGCTCAAGTCCAAACTCACGTAATTCTATACATCCTGTGATCCCACACTTAAATATTCTTTTTAAAAATGCAAGACTTTTCAGAAAGAACAGACAAACCAAGAGATTCAGACCTGAATCTGCAGAGTAACATTTGGCCCACAGGACACAGATTTTGACAACAGTGGACGAAGATACACTTCAAAAGGTGTCCGTTTTAATAGAACTTTTTAAAACTTCATTTTTACAGACAGTCTCTTTCCATACACAGATGACTAAACTAAAGTAAAACATCCTAGAAACATACACGAGACAAAGAACATTCGCTTGTCAGGCCTTGCCCTGTCCATCCCAGATTACTCTGTAGAAGTGTGTCTAAGTCACCTTGCATGGGGCCAGATTCAGAATACACTTGATAAAATGTAATCCATTATAGCAGCCAATGCCAGAGCCGTCATCCTATTCACACAGCTGGGCTCATGTTTATTCATTTATTTTTTAAGATAAAAATAAACAAGAACAGGGACAGATAGGTGGTTAGACCAGATAGTATCACTCCCACTTTACAGATGAGGAAAAATGAATCAAAGCGTCCAAACCGACAGAGCTGGTGAGGAGAAGAGTGGAAGGGCCGCCTCATCTATAAAATGGGAACAATATTATTATCCACCCTGTAAAGTGAATGATGTTTACATGAGATAATGCACTTGGCAAATGGTAGCTGTGATCACTACTGGTAATAATTCTCATTATTGTTATACAACTATTCTTACATAGGACTGGACAACATTTCTTTGGAGGCTGAGCTACTGCTGTTCTATCAGCCTTCTCCAACGGGCACATAACCCTGTACACTAGCTCAAGGGAATCACCGAAAAGCACATGGCAAGGAATGGAATTCACCCTAATCCAGTTTCAAAAGTCGGGCTTCCCTGGAATCCCTGAGGGCCTGCAGGAGGCTGGCATGCCTGTACCGGGGGGTGGGCTGGGCAGGCTACCCCAAGACCACTCTGTTCTGAGGCCTCGGCAGGCCGAGCCATTCTGTGGTTGCCTTAGTTTCCCTCTCATGCTGGGTGACGGGCTTGCTCCCATCAGGGGAACTGCTCCCAGAACCCGTGAACAGGGACCCTGAGCCTCACTCTCCCCTGCGCTCTCTAACCCTGGACTAACAATTTCCGAGTCTGCTCCATGGATTAGTAAATAACGTGTCCATGGGTGGGGAGGCCAGCAACATTCTCCTCTTCAACACGCACTTCTCAACGCCTCTCAGTTCTGCTGCAGAGAAATCTCCCTGCCCTTGTTCCACGAAGCATTTCTTCACATTCACTCAACCGTGAAATCCCTTTTCTCACGAGATGTAGGGCACCTCTTTGGGGAAAGCTGCTGCACGCGGAGCCCAGGACCAAGGTGGGCCCGGAGGCTGGAGCACAGCGCTCTGAGGCTCTGCGCCCTCAGTGGGCTCGGACAGTGGACAGTGGTGAGGACCCTCGTCACGAGGCCTTTGCAACCCACGGTGGGGCCCACATGCGCGCAGGGCTGTACACTTGTCCCTGGCTGAGAGGTGGCCCAGAAAGGACTTGGTCGGGACTCGTACCCGGAGTGGGATGCCCACTTCGTCCATGGACACATCGCTCAGGCCCTGCGTGCTCTCAGCCACCCGCCTGCTGTCATCCTTGGCCTTTTTGTCAGGGGACCTGCCAGGAGAGGCGGGTTTTTCCTGGGTTGTTGCCAAGTCCCGTTCTCCCCCTCTTCTTTCTGACACAGGATCTGGAAGTGAAAAACAACCATTAGCCGAAGTTCTTCTGGTGGCTCCAAAGCAAACCGCCCCTCCCCACCCCCCCACCCCCCAAAAAAAACACCCTCTCAGACAATCCAGCTGGGGGAAGTGTGCTTGCTAATTCTCAATTGGAACGAGTTTCATGTAGCGCAAGGGTCAGCAAACCAGGCCCGGCCACCTGTTTTTGTAAATAAACTTTTATTGGAGTACAGCCACACCCATTCATTTACGAATTATTTATGGCTGCTTTCAAGCTAAAATGGCAAAGTTGAGTAACTGTGACAGAAACCATATGGCATGCGAAGCCTAAAATATTTACCATCTGGCCCTTTAAAAAATTTGCAGAGGTATACGCCGGAGGCTGCTGACTGTCAGGGAGAAGGTAAAACCACCAAGAGGTGGCCATTCATTCCTTGAAAGTCCTTGTTTCACCTTGGGGGAGTCACTGAACTTTTCCGTGCCCCTGTTTTCTCATCCAAAAATGGGGATAATCCTTCCACTGGCAAGCTCACAGGGATGCTACGAGAGGACCTAACTAGATAACTCATGCCAAAATGCTCAGAAAGCTCTACATTGCTTAATGCACATTAGAATATTTTAAATTTGATTCAGGATTGGAAGTTACAAAGAGCTAATAAACGTTCCATGTGCGGTCTACAGATTATAAAATTACTCCGTTTAACCTATTATTCCATGTCACTTCGTTATGGGAAGGCATTTACTAAGTCCCTGCCCGGTGCTATGCATTCCCATGCAAAGGAAAGGGAACAGGGCTGGGGAAGGCAGGGAGGGATGGCCTCTTCCATTTAGACACGGTAACTTAGAGGTGACAGTGAGATGTTCATGAAGAAACGCCCTAGAACCCCTAGAAGAAATGTGGGAGCGGAGCCCAGGTGAGAGGCCCCAGCAGGAGTGCAATTCTGGAGCCATCAGCATGAAAGTGATGGCTGAGATCAAGGAGCTGGAAGAGCTCAGTGGAGGAGGTAAACGAGAGAGTTAAGGGCTGAACTCATGCACCAAGGACTGTCGCAGTCTTAGGCTCCCCAGAAGATGCAGGAGTCGCCAGAGGGGTAGGAGATGAACCACAGGCACAGGGAGGTGCCAGTGAAACCAGAAGACAATGCCAAGAAGTGGGTGGTTAAATACGTCAAAAAATAAATTAAAAAACCAACCTCAAAACAGAAATTGAAGCAGAGGAGGAGGCATTAGATTAGGCAAACGAAGAGTCACAGGATTACTCTGAGGGAGTAATTTTGGGAGGGCAGTGGGGGTAGATGCCAGATCGCAGGAAAAGAAATGAATATAAAAGCAGGAAGTGGGGTAGTAAGTAGGGAGGTGGGCATGGAAGAACTATGCCAACCAGAGAGGTCACAAGATTCGGGGGCAGAAGGTCCAAGCCAGGGGAGTCTACAGGCCTACAGTGAAGCCTGGTGAGGCTGCGGGGACTGAGATGTGCCCTGGAGATGAATCAATACTCAACAGGCATCTGTTCACTGCTTGAGGAGGAGGCTCTCATCTTTGAGAAAGGAAAAGGTTCGAGTGCTAGCTGGAAGCCGAGGGTGCAGGCAACGTTGTGCTGAAGATGGAGCTGTCGTGTGTGGAGGGGAGGCTGGGGGGAGGGGCAACACATCCGTGGGCACCCTCAGGGTTTGTGACTTTCACAGTCTGCTCCATGGAGTGACTCTGCCTGGATGTCACACTGACTTCCAAAATGCAGGTTTATTCTGTGGTCATAGGACGTTTCTTTCTTTCTTTTTTTTAAAATATATTTTTATTGATTTCAGAGAGGACGGGAGAGGGAGAGAGAGAGAGAGAAACATCAATGATGAGAGAGAATCATTGACTGGCTGCCTCCTGCACGCCGCCAACTGGGGATCAAGCCCGCCAACTGGGGATCGAGCCTGCAACCTGGGCATGTGCCCTTGACTGGAATTGAACATGGGGGACCCTTCGGTCCACAGGCCAACGCTCTGTCCACTGAGCCAAACCAGCCAGGGCCATAGGACGTTTTCTAAACATTCTGTGGGAGACTCGGTTCAGGGAGCCCTTCAGACAACCTGATCCCGGTATCATCACCACGAGCCCTAAAGGATGTCAAGACCAGACTGTTTCATAGAATGGGTTCTATTACTCCCAGGAAGTTCCAACAGAAGGCCAGGGACTTGGCAGGAAGCATGCAACATATCAGGGGATTTCAAGTTACCAGAGTCTCCCCTCCAAACGGCTCAGCTGAGCATTCTCCTCCCCCCTGGAAAGGCTTGCCTAAATGGGATCAAGATTTCGAGCTCTGGCCCTGGCTCAGTTGGCTGGGCTCGGCCCATAAGCCAGGAGGTTGCTGGTTTGATTCCTAGTCAGGGCACATGCGCAGGAATTGGGCTTGATCCCCGGTAGGGGATGTGCAGGAGGCAGTCAATCAATGTTTTACTCACATCTATGTTTCTCTCTCCCTCTCCCTTCCTCTCTCCCTCTAAATATCAATCAAAAATTGTTAAAAATAAAGATTTCAAGCTCTGTCTCGCTGGCGTTTGGAGGTGCTCGTATTCCTCACTCTTCAATGTCATTTCTTTAGATCGCATCTATGCCATTCTCATGGTTTTGGGGTCCAGGAAATTAAAAAAATTTTTATGGCAGGTGGCTCTAACAACACTTAACTGTAAAACCCAGCCTGACCGTCCATGGATTTGTTCCAAAGCTGCCAGAGTCCTTTTGATCTACAAAAATTAGCCCCGAATTATCGTTTTTTAGAAGCTTGTGATCATGTGATTCATGATTGAGTGGATTTCAATATACGGAGGGCGGAACTGCAGCCTCTGGGGGAAAACTGTTTCTTTATACAGTGAAAACCCAAAGTGACACTTCACTGTGTCACCCAGGTGACGTGTGGGTTGCAGTGAGGGCTTCTGCTACATCTCACTAGGCCAGTGATGCGAACCTTTTGAGCTCGGCGTGTCAGCATTTTGAAAAACCCTAACTTAACTCTGGTGCCGTGTCACATATAGACATTTTTTGATATTTGCAACCATAGTAAAACAAAGACTTATATTTTTGATATTTATACATGTAAATGCCATTTAACAAAGAAAAATCAACCAAAAAAAGGGTTCACGTGTCACCTCTGACACGCGTGTCATAGGTTCGCCATCATTGCACTAGCAGCTGCCGACGCCTCCCGCTCTGGAGCAGTTCCTTCCAGTTTCATACCGTGCTTTCAAAAGCAAGATCCTGGAATGAGCCGCTCAGTAAACAATGGTGCCGGCAGCCTGAGACCGGGCCTCTCTCTCTGAGGGGTGGGAAAGCTTTGTGACTGAGGTTACAGCCTGCTGACACTTCTCTTGGGGGAGCGCCCCTGTCCTAGCCCCTTCTCCTGTCTGTCCACCCAGGGGACCATGAGCCCCAGGGGCTCTTTCCCACAGCTGAACCTCACTGAGCAAGAAGCCCCCGAGGGTGGCTGGCAAGTGCCATCCCCGCAGGTGAGATGGCAGAGCCTCACTTACTCCGGGCACAGGGTGGAGTACCAGGCCCGCTGGAAGCTCTGAACACAATGGTGCTTCTTTTTAAACCAAAACCAACGTTTAGTGAGCTAGAGATGTGCCACTCTCTGAACCCCATGAGTGGATCTGTCCCCAAACCCAAAGAGGACAGAGCACGAGGCTTCTTTCAAAGCCGGAAAGTGGCCCGGGCTGGTGGCACGGTAGACAAGCCCTGGCATTTATATAGCACTTTGCAGTGTGCAGAGAATGTCCCAAAGCCTCCTGTGGACACACAATCCTGCAGAGGCAAGGACTGTCACCCCACTTCCCACATGAGGAAACTGGCTCAAAGAGGTGAAGTCACTTACCCGAGGATAAACAGCCAAAAGAGGGACGAGCCAGGACCAAACTCTGGGTCTAACTTGTGTTTGGGTACCTTTTAAAAATCTACTCCACTGCTCCTTTCAATCTCCCAGAGGCAGGAAGGAGCCCACAGGGGCTACCTTCCCTTCCCCCACCCCGAGCCACCCTGTTCTCAGCAACCTGGGCTGGGGCCACAGCCTGTCCTGGCTCCACAGCCAAGTCCTGATAAAGCTGAGAGAGTGTGAGAACCCCATGTCCTGCCCACCCGGGCTTTCCACGAAGCCCAAGGGCAGCAGTGGGACGAAGCAACACAGGAATCATGGAGCAGCGGCTCAGAAAGTGGTGGCTTTTGCTATCCACCAAATCAGGGACTTTTAACCCCGGAGTTCAAGATCTACAAACGACCACAGGCGTGTGTTTTCACATGCGTGGCTTCTTCTAGATAATGAATCTACCGCCTTCACAGATCCCCAGATGGGGCCATGACCAACACAAGGTTACAGCCACCACACAAGCTGTGAGGGCAGCACACCTCCCTTTCATGGCTTCAGAGCCTACTCAGTGCTCGACACAAAGTAGACACTCAGTCAAATGATGTCAATCAAGGGAGGCAGCTACTGAAAACAGTGACTACCCATCATGCACTTAGTGAATGCCAAGGCTCGGCCGAGCTGTTTATAAGCAGAACATGTAAGAAACGGATTCGTTGTTTAGTAAGTGATAGAACCAGGATTCAAAGCAGGGTGACGACAGAAGCCACGGAAATGGGTTTCCCCACAATTTCCGCCAACATGTTTGTTCAGAATATCTTACCCATCAAGACACGTCTATTAGTTTGGGTCACTTGTCTGGTTGGCCCCCCCAGCCTTCAAGCTGCAGGGAGGCATGACCCACACCTGGTTTCATCATCCTAGCCAACCAGCATCAAACAGAGCCCTCCCCCTCCCCGCCCCCCGCCCACACACACCAGGAGAGCTCATAAGACTGTGCTGACGGAACATCAATGGTGACCGGAAGCCAGCTTTAACATGGACAGGTGCTAATGTGTAAATAAATATTTCTCACCTACCTGACAGGCTACTGAGTCGTTTCTGCTGTTCTGTGATAAAAGAAAAAACACACTGTGTGAGATTTACAAAGACGTGGTGAAACCGAGACATCCGGGCACAACTCATTAGGATCCCAGTATCTGTGTCCTCACTGTCCTCTGGGTTTAGATGCTAAAACACTGTGCATCCAGTGAAAGCAGCGTGTTGACGCGGCCCTGTCATCCAAGCGTGGTATCTCATCCGCCTGCCCCTGGGTTTGCACCAGGACTCAGGCACCGTCACTGTTCTGGGTGTTTACATCGTATCTCAGGATAACCTGGTCACGGAAGGAGACCCTCCCACCTCCACTGACTTCAAGGGGGCAGTGTGGTCCATGGACCAGCAGCACCAACACGCCCTGCGAGCTGCTGAAAAATGCAGAACCTCAACCCAGTCTTGGTACCTTCTGAGGAGAAGTAATTGCAATGGTAACCATAGCAGCTACCACCTCCTGAGCGCTTGCAGATGCCAGGCATTGTTTTAAGAGCTTTCCCACAGGTTAATGCTTTTAATCTTCGCAACAACCCTAGCAGGTAGGTCAGGGTGGTTGAGACACCCTCAATGAGGGGCACAAACTACTCAAGAAGACACTGAAAACCAGAACTGGTCTAAAACCTGGAATCTCCTTATCTCTAGTCCAAGGATCTTTCCAACTCTAATCACTACGCCCCTTTCCTTAACACTGAGGTCTATGGGTTCTCACCCTCCTGGGCACTCGTGAGGAAGGAGTCAACCTCTTGTTTGCAGAGTCCTGTGTGGACGTGCTACAGCATTCGGACAAAAATGACCTCTACCTTCCACAGCTGCTAAATATAAAGCAGCCACATAGATAAACACAGAAAGCCTGCCAGCCATGGGTGCTGTCATTATCCCCCGTGGCTGCGTCCCCATCCTCCCTGCAGAATCAGCGTGGGCAAGAAGTAAAGAGAGCTCGCAGCTGGTGGAAGCAGCCCTGTCCACGTCGGGCCCATGGACGAGGCTCACTCACACGGCTGGACAACAGAGGCCGGCAGAGCTCGAAGCACCGCGCTGCCAGCCACACTGACCAGTCGTCACCTCCATTTCCCAATCTGTTAAATCAAAGCGCTCACTGGGTCCACGGATCCCGAACTCTGGTCTCCAAGCCAGGGGCAGGCTCTTCCCCAGCAGGCAAAAGCCAAGTTACCCGTTTAAAACACTATGTTGTTCCCACTTCTCAAGTGTGCAAGGCCCTTCTTTCCTGGAATGACACGTGATGAGGATAACGGCAACTGTCTTTCAGGGGTGTTATTTAGCAAAGTTAGAAATTAGCAGCCCTAGGGTGTTCCCCAGACGGTTTCATTTGACAGAAGTCTGGAGACCAAAGAGCTCTTGATCTCCAGTGAGGTCCATGGACCAACAGCACCAACACGCCCTGCGAGCTGCTGAAAAACGCAGACCCTCAGCCCTGCTGCAGAGCTCCTGAATCTGCATCTGCATCTGCAGATCAAGAAGACCCCCCTCCCCCCCAGAGTCTAGGCACAATCAAGACTGCGGAGCTTTGCTCTGGCCGGGAGCTCAGTTGATTAGAGCATTGTTCCGATACACGGAGGTTGTGGGTTTGATCCCTGGTCAGGGCACATACAAGGATCAACCAATGAATGCATAAATAAATGGAACATCAAATCGATGTCTCTCTCTCTCTCTCAAATCAAGTAAACATTTTTAAAAACTTAAAAACAAAACACTGAGAAGCTTGGAGCTACGGAACCCATGCAACTCTTTCAGTCCTGGGAGTTTTCTGATTCCAGTCCTCCTACCAGACTGATCATAAGCAATCTGCCCTCTTACACATGTAAAGCAGTCTCAGGAGAGGAGCAAGGGCGGTGTGGTGCATGACCTTCTGAGCCAGGCCAGACTGCGGTGCCCTCCATCTGCTTGCAGCGAAGGGAGCTGGCTGCAAGAGAGGGAGCTATTGTCACACCACCCCCGGGCCAGTCCAGGCAGGAAAAAAGGGAACCTTTCTTAGGATAACTAAACTAGAATTCCAGAAGTGGAGTAAAGTTATCATTCCCTCAGGAGACTTTGCAATAGTTAAGAAACTTTTTACGGGTATTATCTATGATGCAAAGCAGAGCTGCCAGGCTGGGTCAATTCCAAAGCAAAGCCAAAAATGCTTGACCTACACCCCACTGACGAGCAGTCCAGTGAGGCGCGGCCAGCGAGGCGCTTCCATTCTCCTGGACTCTTCCTGCCGCACCTCCTTGGGGACATATGGTTTGCTCTTTATAGGAAGCGACTTTTCATTAAAAAACAAAACAAAACACAAATATACGTGTATCCTTTTCTGAAGGATGTGTGATGCAGGCTGCACATCTCTGATTTTAAACCCAGGGGCAGGGCTTGGACAAAAGAGAAATTTAGAACCAACGACATCTGGGCAAATAAGAAGAATCCGTTTGTTCAGGAAAGGAACAAAGAGGAAGAACGGGCATGTCTGTGCCCAAAGATGTCTCACTCGGTGTCAGAGGACTTGGCAGAAGTAACTGACATTACACTTGGCATTTCCCAAAACCCAAGTTGCCTTGGGAATAAATCCCATTTTTAGAGAAACTGCTTTTCCTTCTGGGAACTCATTTGCTTCTATGTGATTGGATTTTTTAAAAAGATGAGTCATAAAGAAGTTCATACAGAACCAAAATTTCACTTTGTCTTGCATTACGGACACTTTCTGGGCAGGGAAAGCCACTGCCGAGAGGAGAATGGGCTCTTACATAATTTAGTGTGTGTGTGGCGGGGTGGGAGCACTTTTTATTTTTTGAAGAACACAGATTCATGGGTGAAAATTAATATGGGAGCCACACAGAGTGAAAAAAATAAAATTACTAAAATAACTAAGATTGGAGTGGGAAGATTTTCAGTGAGAAAATGTTTCATTCATCTGTTTTTTAAGTTAGAAGCAGGAAACAGAAAACTCCATTTAATATGGGGAACAATTAAAAATAGATTTCAGCCTCTCATTCTCATCCAAGTTAAGGCAGAGAGAGAGGCAGGCGGAGGGGAGGGAAACTATGAAGTAGGCAAGCAGGGAGTCAGGAAAGGAAGATCTGGTACCGAGCTTTGAGCTCGGAATAAAATAATAAAACCTCACTCAGAAACACCCAGAAAGCTGGAAAAGTTTACATTTCACAGTGCAAAGACCTTTGGGGACCGGGAAGCGCATCCCTCTATTGAATTCCAAAACCGAAATATTTGGATTTAGAAACATCTTCTGGAATCTTAAAGCAGAGGGTCACCATATGAATTATCACCTCAAAGCACTTCTACTTCCCCACGATGCCTTGCAAAGAAGGGGAAGAACCAACCTATGGAACTGCAGGAAGCACACATGAACCCACCGGCCGAGCTGCCTGGGGCCACACAGCCAGGCAGTCCCCACAGGGGGTGCTGAAAGGTGGCCCAGTGTGCCGACTGCTGGCAAGAATGGAGGCTGGTGAGACACTGAGACGTTCAGTAGCCTCTGTGTTAGAGGCAGAAAAACATGTTTGACATTTTAGAAAATATTCCATCACTAGGTTTTTTTTTACAGTTTGGTGCTCAAGATGTCTCTTTCTAGAGAACTCATGATGTCAGAGCTCAATGATTCAGGCACTTCTGAAAAGAGGGACCACTGCACCTAGAGTTTCCAAGCAAAGCTGTGATGAGAATTCTCATGATGAGGAATTAAGGTGCCCAGACTTTCCCTTTCTGCCTCTTTTTTCTTTTTGGTGCCACCCTCTGAAGACACTGTGAACACCCAAGGTGTGGAACACACACTGCAGAAGCTTACTTATTCTGATACCAGACGCCACCCCAAATCAGAGGTCTGTCCGCTACGGTCTACTTGGTGGGTCGTGGGAGGAAACCGGGGCCGATGTCCTCAGAGATGAATGAGATTTGTGAAAATTTGCGTGGGAAGGCAGACTTATTGTCCCGGGGTCACGGAACAGTGAGCGGAGGGAGAGGTGAGCAGTGAAGCTCCCTTACCTCGGTTGTGTTGCAAGAGCACAATAGTGGGATTGACAATGGTCGTGGAGGGATAGGCAGAGGATGGCTTGCTGACTGGTGCAAAGGTTTGGGAATCAGTTCTAACACGAGATGAAGGAACTTCATTTAGCAGAGGACTTGAATCCTGAAAAAGGAGAAACATAACTGTCAGTACACAAAACCTAGAGCTAATGCTTTTTAAAAAGAAAATTAAGGCTGTACAAGGACCTTAATTAGAAGAAGAAATGTAATCAATGAGATGTCATTGATTCCAGTTAGAAGGTTAATCTGGAATGCTTATTCTCTTCGCTGGTATTAGTAAGGGGCGAGAGGGAAGATAATGTTACTGAAAGTCACAGCAACATTATTCATTATTTTCACCTGGTAAGAAACGTGGATCAATCCAGTTACTGAAAAAGCAAATTCAAATCAAAGTAGAAAAAAACATGCAAAACTCATGCAATTCCAAATGCGGTCCGAGCACGAGAGCTGGTTTAATAGGGACAAATCAGGAAAGTTTAGTACACTGTTTACAGAAACATGAGACGATGTGAGATAAGAAGCCATAGGTGTAAGAGTAGAAAGGGTTAAGTACTGGTACTCTTGGAAAGCTATTCTTGTCATCCACATCACTGAGCACCTTGCTAGCACTTGCTGCTGAGATTCAGATATTATCCTGTCCTACAGCGGCGCTTTTTTCACTCCAATACCGACTGACAAAGATCTCTGAAGACTTGTGAAAATCCTGACTTTTAAAAACCTGAGGGTCTCAGCCAGAAATACCAATAAAATTATTATTCCTACCATTACAATTTGCACGATGGGAATAAGGGCAGTCTTTTTAAAGACAGGAAACATAAGACTTCGAAATGTAGCAAGGATATGTACACAGTTTCCTCTATCACACCTATAAATTTAGCAATGTTTCTATTTTAGAATTTACAGACCCTAAAGCCAGAATATCATTCTTAAAGGGTTTAAAGAACAAGACTTTGTTACTGTCTAGAAACAGTATGGCATAAAAGCAATTCGTATGCTCCATCAGAGATCATGGCTCTGTAAGTACCTGCAGAACTAGAGACACGGCCCCATCCTCTTCCTTCCATCCCCTACCCTAGCACAATGCCCTGCAGACAGCAGGGGCTCAGTAGTAAAATGCCACATGAATGACAGCAGCCACCTACCAACAAAGGTGCTTCTGAACAACTTGTGTTCAAAAGAACAAAGAGTTCAGGAGAGGATGTGAGTGTCAGGACCTCGGACAGCTCCCGACACACAGTAGGGGCGGCTTCCTGGAACCCACTGGCTTGGTCATCCACTTCTGAAAGTGCCCCAATGTCATAGCTGCTACTTATGAGTGGCAGCTCAGGTTAGTGAATGAAACTTCCCCCCAAGACTTGAGGCACAATATGGTCTTGTACAAAAGTGCCTCGTCTTAATTTTTCATTTATAAAGTGGGAAAACAATTACACCATCCTATTTACTTCCAAAGTGATATAACACAAATAAATGACATATCCATGAAAACTGCCCTAATGCGGCCAAGAAACACGAGAGTCAGGGCACACAGCTTTCTGAAGTGTGCGTACTGCCCATGAGGCCTGGAAGGACCATGTGAGCATTACCATTTTATAAACTTCACTCTGTGGCACAAGTCTGGTTACTGACTAGATTCAGAACCTGGACTAACGTGAATGGCTGCAGATGGAGCAGGTATCAATGGTGGCTTGGCCGCCATCCACGGGGATCTGCTCTGCTTAACGAACCTCATTCAGGGGAGGAACCCAACAGTTGCCCTTTTCACCTTCTACTTCATTACTTGGGCCAAACTAGAAGTTATCAGGCCAATTGAAGTTTCCTGGGAAGTCTATACGTCAGTGGGGTTTGAGAAACTGAGGACATTGTCCCAACTCACCTGTCCTGGTCTACCTGAACAAACTCAACATGAACACCTAGATCTACTCAACTGAACTGCTCACCATGCATGTGAGCACACTGAAAACGCTGCTCTAGAGACACATTCTATGCCAAAGGGAAGAGCACCCATATTCTCCAAAACAAGGGCAGCTGCTAAATTCACCTTTAAGTTGAGATACGGTAAGATGAGTGCAGCAGGGAACAATTTAGCATTTTTCTCCACCTGGGCGGAGTTGTAGAGGTCAAAACTAGGACATCCAAGCCCCCGGGCCACGTTTGACAGTGTCCTGACCTAACCCATTGTGCTGCATCTAGAGTTTTGAGAAGGGTCCCAGCATTGTACCTGATATCTCACTGGAATTTCTCTTAAAAGCCTCCCTCCCCCCAAAGTTTCCCTCCTGCTTGATTAAACTGCGTGACTCGCTTCAGTTTAATGAGCCACTTGAGCCTGTTTTGGAGGCATACAAGGGATGCCAGTGAACATTAGTTCCATCAGCCAACTGCATGGCCCTACATCTCAAAATGTGGCCCACGCACACTCAGCATCAGAATCCCCCAGGATGCACATTACCACGTAGTTTGAGTCCTAGATCCCTCCCCAGACCCACTTGATTAGAATCTCCAGGAGTATAACCTGGAGAGGACTATTTAAATGCATTTTCCTGCCGCTCAATGAGTCACATACTCTGAGCTTGAGAACACAGCTCAGATGAACTCTCTAAGAGCAGGGGCTGTGCCTTGTTCGTAGAGAATTGAGAAGAATGCCCAGAACACGGTGGGGATTCAATGAAGTCTTTCTCTTGGGCTTTCGCCCCTGGGTTGGGGGCCTGTCCCTCACAGGATGGGCCCTTTAACTTCATGTCCAGTGAGGCGCTGTTTTGCTACAAAGGCCTTGGGAGCCACTACTCAGGGTCCCCAGCAAGTATCTGCCTGTTGAGGAAATAGTCCTAACATTCGTACAAGGCTTTTATACCCATTTTCTCAATCATATTCAACTCTTTTTTTAAACCTAGTCTCTGCCATGGCTGTGGACACGAGTTTGTTTAATTGCTAAATCCACACAAGAGTGACTCTCTTCCTCCCCTGCCCCCCGGTGGAGAAACGGCTGTTGGTTTTTCCACCTGATTCGTAGCTTTCCTCAGCTCTCAACAGTACACCTGCCTGCCTGTGGGGAGCACACCTAGCCAGAGGCAAGGCCACAGAGGGTGTTTTCTCGGCGGAGGACCAAGTTCCTTCAGCAAGATGTGCATTCCGAACAGGACAGCGAGGAAGAGGGAGGGAGACCGTGAGCAGCCGCGAGAGCCCGGGACACACGGAGGCATGCACTCGGGACAGCAGACCCGGCTCCAGCCATCACGCAAGCACAGGCAGGCAGCACTCCCTCGGAACTTAGTACTCCAGTGAGAAGGGCTTTACTGCCAGGGCAGACATTCAGGAAAGCCGCGAGGAAGGGACCCCAGCAAGCTTACGGTACTTGAAACAGCTCCCGTGAGGTCAGGCTCCGAGACGCTGTGCAGGCCCTCCGGGACTGGGGGGACCAGCGGAGGCGGTGGTGAGAAGGATGGTGGTGTCTGGCTAACAGGGGGGTGGGGGCCCGGAGCGCTGGCTGGCGGGCTGTGGTGGGGCCGCCTCTGCAGATGAGGGGGAATGAAATCATCTAGAGTCGGGAAGGTCAGAGGTGAGCCGGCAGGGGCGGCCGCCGGGACTGGGGGGCCCAGTGGCCCCCGAGGTGCTGGAGGTCTGGCAGTGCCTTCTTGCCCTCTGTCAGTATTAACCAGGTAGAGAGGGACAACTATGACCTCAGGCTGGGCTGGGCTGGAGGAAGTGGCGTCCTGTAGGAAATAAGGGGTCGTTACGCAAAGGGGTATGGCAGCAGGGGAGAAGGAATTCCATATTTAAACAGTTGAGCGTGGACATGCAATGATGTACTCTGAGAACTATTTAATCGGTGCCCTTTGCTCAGGGTGCATGAGACAGTCGGTGCTAGCCAGCTGGCCTCCTGACACTCTATGACACAGAGGGAACCCCATCCAACTTTACTTTCCATCCATCTATTTTTGAATCCTTTTGACACTTTAGGAGAGAGAAAGAGAGAGAACAGGCAGGCAGGCTGTGTTTAACCCCCAGAGCCGCTTGCGGAGCCTGAAAGCTTGGGAGTAAATACAATTTCTTTGGCACTTGTTATAAAACATAAACGCCGTGTCCCACCGTATTATCAGGCTACGTATTCCACACTCTGGCATACTTCCATATTCACAGGAAAGACAGATGGGGAGACAGAAAGGACTGTGCTGAGATGTTTAGAGAATTCGGGATTCAAGCTGCAGCGGTATTAACGAGGACAGGAGGGGAGGGCAGCCCGGAACACAAACGAGCTCTCACATGAGTTCCAAAGAGACGCAGCAGACACACAAACATTCCTAGTTCCTTGCCTTGGCTGGATAACACGGCTGCAAAAGGTAAGGTTCTTTTCTCCTCCGGTTTTCGGGATCAGAGGTAACCTGGGGGCCTAGCACAGGTGGTCCCACTGCATCTGGGAACGAAGGCCGAGTCCCCAGGGAAGGACTCTCGCCACGGTTACCAGCATCTTTACGGGGGTCAAAGAACAGCTTGGAAGAGTGAGGAGGAGCAGAGCGTGGCCTCCCCGTGCCCGCTGAGCTGGAGACAATGCTGGGAGCCAGTGCTCGAGTGCCTTGGGCTGGGTCACGTGCAACACGAGAGCAGCTTTCCGATGCCACCGGGCAAATGTTATTGGCTAAACAAGGTACATATAAGCTGCTGACCTTTTTATTCCCAACTGCCTTCTGACGTGGGTTAGAGCTCACATTCCCACTATAAACTGTCCTGGTGGCTGCACAGTGGCGCTGGGGTTGGGATGAAGCACTGGGGGACGTGGAACCTGGAAGTGAGGGCCCAGGACACACCACACCTTGGGGAGCTGATCTGGCTGCCAGGGGGACAGAGACAGGCTGGGGTGGTGAGGGGCTCTGCTGGCTGGAGGTGCCGGGTGGGGCATAAGGCTTTGGTGAGCTCCGGTACAGCGAGTCCTTGGAGGCACCGTGGAGGGCAGGGGGCTGCCATGCAAAGTGGCTCACTTTAGGGAGAGGAGGGCGTGGGGGAGAGAGAACCTTTAGTATGATTTTCAAGACACAATATTAAGACAGAGAAAAAGGAGAGAGGAGGGGAAATGGAAAGAAGGACGACCATTAGAAACAGCAGCATAACATGATCTGAAGAAAAAAACAATTCTAGACAAGTTTTTAAGCAAATCCTCAGCGTAGACTCTGATGGAGTCTACATCTCTCTTCGGGTCAAACCGAGGACCGGCTCACTCACCTGGAGGGGCAGGCCCGACCCCTCACCCGCAGGAGGGAGCTCAGCCCAGGAGAGCCCCGCGCTGAGTCTATGTGGACGCCGATCCTTGGCTGACCTGCCCTCTTAGACCTCCCGACTGAAGAAGGGTGCCCAGGGGCTAAGCCAGGGGAAGAAGCCCCAGGCCCCCAATTACTACACCTCCTCTCCTCAAAGATTCTCCTCTTTATGGTTTTGGCTTTAAAAGTTTAAGTTCACTGAAACCCTCAAGGGTCTTTCATGCTTTTCTCAGG